AGAAAAACAAATTCCGATGTGTTCAATCCAGTATTTTCCTATCTTCTTTACTTGCTGCTTCTTGCAGTGGTAAGCTTATTTAAACTAGAATTTTCATCATTTAAGCAGGGTTTTCTGTCAAGTGTGCTTGGGGAAGTGACTAATAAAGAAGGGCACAACAAGAGCAACACCAAGTAGCGCCTTCCCCATACTCAGAGTAGGAACAGCCTACTGCTGCAAGCATCCTCTCTCTATTCACCATAAGTAAGCCTATCTTCTGGTGCACAAATGTAGTGTTGATTTTAGAGCCCTGGGATAAAAAATAATGCTGATAGTATCTTCAAATTATTATCTTATTCTTATTTGACAAACAAATATTCCTGATTTCTGAATCCCCCTTTGAGTGGCCTCTTCCAAAGGGTGAACACCAAAGCATTTTCTGGATCTGGGCCTTATAGTCTGAGAGGAGGATCCTTTCCATAAAAACTGATAGCCCCACCCAGAGCTCTGGCCTGCAGACCAGGCTTCATGCAGGGATAGCCAGTTTGGCTGGTGTTCATGTTCTGATCTGGAAGGCAGCTCTGTTTAGAAAGACCTCCATGGCTGGGCTGGCTCAGTATTCTGCAACAGGCAGAGAGAAACATTGTCAGTGGGGCATGGGAAGATGACATCCAGGTGATTCTGAGAGCTCAGGAGGCAGCACTGGGTTCTGAGCTAGGTCTCTGCTCAGTCCTGCTTCATGGGCCCAGCTCCAACTTTCACCCCTTCTTGGTGAGGGGAGACAGCCTTTGTCTTAAAGGGCAAGGTATAGCTATTACCATGGAGCTTTAAGACTGTTGTGAACAGCAAGAATCTGGGGTTCACAGCTCTTCTGAAAGGATCTCTGTGCATCCTCACTGGGCCTGCAGTGCGATATGTCTGTGTGCATCTGCAACTGCACTTCTCTGTGGTGTGGTCTTTGCCAGCCTGACTTCTCAGCAGCTTCTTCAGAAGTAAGCCATGGACAATGTCACCTCACTGCCTTGGTCACCATGAGGTCAGCTCTCAGGGGATAGCAACTCTTCTCCCTCCTCTCACAGGTGTACAACACAGAACTGCTCCAGGTTTGCTCACTAGTGGCTTGTCAAGCAGACTTCTACTTAAATAACTCTCGTATTAATAAATATGAACCAATAGCTGATTTATCCCAGAGATGGCACAGACTAACTCCTGATATAAGTTTGAGGGTAAGCTTTCCTGACATCTGATTTTGTACCAATTTTTAAAATTCAGTAATATGTAAGATATTCACAAATTATTAATTATTCCTCATTTAACAGATGAGTGTTGGTGTGCAGTCCTCACTGTGCTGAGGGCTGTGCCCCTGGTTCCTTTCATCTCCACAATGCCTGAGGAAGTTCACAGAGCCTCTGCTCTAAAATCCAGGAAAGGAGACTGGACTGAATTCCTCAGCTAATCCTTGGCAGAAACAGGTTTACATTCAGACTGCCCAATCTAAAGCAGTGTTCAAAAATAATGCAAGTTATTTTTAAATTTATTGCTGTGCAGGTGGGAAATGAATACCTTTGGCACTAAAATGAGAAGTCTGCACAATTCCTAGACTTTAATGCGTTTAGAGTTTCCATACACTTTTCAAGTACTGAACAGAAAATCAAACAAGCTTTCTTGAGGTTGTAACAACAGCTTTAACAGTTGCAGTTTCACCTACCAATTCCGCCACTAGGACTTATCCTAAGGATTTATCCATTCCTCACTCTGAATGTAAGCAAAGAAGTCACCTCTAGACTCTGCGCTGGCTCAAATGCCTCTGCCAGAGCCTGCCCTAGTGCCCTCCAGATCAGCCCAGCACTCCTGATAATTCAAAGAGCTGCCAAACTTCCACCACCCACATGTAGTGCATTTTCCCTCCTGTCAGGAATCCTGGAGCCTACTGAGAATACCACTTTCCCACATTAGAAATGTCTTCCTCTTCCTTGGGTTGTCCCTGTTGGTCCATAAACTCCAGAAGCTCCCCCTCTGCTTCTGTCAGGAGTTGTGCACAGGTGCAGCCCAGCTCCTCATACACACCCTCACTGGCTCACTCTTCACATCTCCAATGATAGTTTTCCTGGGTCCACCTTCAGCCTCAGATCTTCCCACCTCTTGCAGACCTCTAGCCCACATCTCTACTCTAAAATGAGCATGGCTAAAAAAGAACCAAATCTTCTTCTTGCCCCTTTTCAGCTCATCACAAGACCTTCCCCATCTCTCCAAATGTCTCTGCTGCAAAGGAGAACAAATCTTTGTTTCCTGGGTATCTTCTTGATTCATATATTTCTATCCTGCCCATAGCCAACCTGGGTAGAGCCTGCATCTGTCCTTCAAACCCTTCTACAAACCACACACCCCTCTTGACTGGATCATGTCTGCAGCCCTCAGCTCCCCACAGAAGTTGTTTTCTTTAACAGAATAGTCAAAGCACTCCTGCTGAGGACTGAATGGATCATTTTGCTGAAAGATAAGCAGGGTTTCCACTGCAAGAACACAAACCAGTCAGGATGAAGCCTCCTGTGGTGGGGCTCTGCCTCTGGTGCACTGGAACCTTCTTTTCTGCCTCCATGTCTTCTCAGGTGCTTGGTACTCAATGTTTTTTCTACTTGGAAAATCTTCACTGTATCTTTCCAGTGTAGTCTTCTTTTCTTTTTAAAAAAGATATTTCAATTGACAATATATCATGCATGAGAGGATGGTCTGGATTAAGTTGGCATGGTGGAGTGGTTAAATCTAATTTGCAAGTACTTCTTATACATTTTTTGTAGTGAAAACACTTATAAACAACTGTCCCTGTGATTTTCAAGACTGAGGCACGGTATACTAACCATAGTGACCCCACCACACAACTGGCCTCTTAGACTTCCTGCTTGGTCCTCTGATTCTGAGTGTTTCACTTCAGTCTCTCCTGGAAGGGTCTCCTCAGCCACTCTAAGTGCAACACATCCCTGTACCCACACACCAGTTTTGTTTTGTTCATAGCATTATCAGTGACTAAAACTACCCTGCTTGCTTTCTTTTGTCTTTTAGAAACATATTGGTCTCCCTCTCCATTAGGATAGCCTCATTCATTTTCCCTGAATGAAATAGGTGCTCCAAAATATTTCTTGCCCTTTCAGTGACTCCATGTGACCTGTTAAGGAGAAAATCTCTTACACATGAGAACAGTAAACACCCAGTCTGTAACTCCACAGCCATCTTTCTGAGCCTCCTCAGCCAGGCCCTGCCTGGTGAAGCAGGTGGGCCTTCAGAGGGTTAATGCCTGCCTCAGCCTGCAGAAGAGGAGCTCAAGGAATGAGTTCCAGAATGATGGCAAGCCTTGTCAAATCTGGCTTCAGGGAGGTGTCCTGAGCATCATGGACACATGGGCAACACATTACATTGTGGAGCACAGTGAAAGTGCATCTTCCTCTTTCAGTATGTCATATCTGTACTGTTAGCTCAAGCAGTCACTTGAAAAAGCTGGTTAAACCCACGTATCAGTTAGGACCCTTCCTGATGCAAAGAAATGCAATAATGGTTGCTAATGTTTATTGATCTCATCATATGCTCAGCACTGTTTTATGTGTTTCATGCAATCATTAGAGGTGACAAAACCAAACAGAGAAGGTGGTTCAATCCCTCAAGATCAGTCATGGAGGCTGGGCCTTGCAATTTTAACAGCTGTGCACACATTCTTGGACAAGGCAAGAGATACTTACTGTGCCACTTAAGCAGCAGACTGGAGCCTGCCAACTGTAGGGGAGGAAAAGGGAATGATCCCCTTCCTGCCCTTTATATAGGGTCACAGCTGCCACCCTACTTCATAGTGCATTATTTGATCATCATTTTACATGGGTGGGAACCATCAAATTGAAGGCCTGAGGACCCAGGGAAAGTCATCCAGTTTGATGCTAAGATTCAATGAAGAAAGGACATCTGTGCAGAACTGTGACTGCACAATCTGATGGTAACAGGCAGAGCAGAACACAGTGAGGCCTGTCTATGCATCATTCCTACCTTCCAGGCATGGGGCAGTATGTCTCTGGGATGGGACTTAGGATCTATCAGATTAAGGTCAGTCAGAGTATTTCTTTATGACCAGCTCCAAGACAACAAGGCAGAGGGATGGGAGAAGATTAATATTTTTAGGCATTATGGCTTGCTTTGGGGAACAGTGTTCTAGTTTCTATGACTGCTCTGGGGAAGAGAAGTTTTAGTTTCTATGGCTTGTCTTAGGGTAGAATGGGAAGCACATATAGGAGGACCAATGGTGTCAGAGAGAAACTGTGCTTCTGAGGCCTCTACTTTGGGGCCTTTACCACTAAATGAGTTCTATCACACACAGGAATGGCTGAGTCATCTTCTGTGTTTGTGAGGGAGTTCTCCCCAGCCCCAGGTTAGCAATCAAATAGCTGCAAAATAACATTAGTGGGAAACTCCAGTTGGAAATTCTGTGCATGTGTGTTAAGTCAAAATAGACATTTTTCATCTTCCCTGTTTTTGTGAGAACAGCCTTTCCAAGGGTCCCAAAGCCCCCTCCCTTGGTGCCAACACTGCATTTTTTGCAAACATGGACGAGCATAAACTCCAGGCTGCCAGTAGGAAAGAGCAGGTGTCTCTAAGTTGGCCCACTCTGCCCAGCTGGAGGTTGCCAGTCTTTGCCATCATCAGCTCATTTAATCCTCCAAAACTTGTTAAATTGAAATGGTAAGGACCTACTAAGAATCAATAATGGACCAAAGTTCACATGAAATTGAGCACCACTTCACAAGCAGGTCCAGTGCACACAGCTGGATCAAAGCCTGTGTGATGTTGATGAACACAAAAGAACCACAACTATAAAAATTGTGTATGTTAAATTTTAAATGGTAGATGTGATGAAATTAGTACAACATGTTAAAAGACATTCAAATTAACCATTTATTTATATAGAGAAAAACCTCTTACAACTGAAATAAAAGTTTGCAGGACAGAGTGCTTTAAATGTACATTAAACAATGCTTCCTGGGTAGTAAATACTGTCAGCATAGAAATATTTTTCTGTAATTATCAAAGAAGGAAATAGTATAAACTTTAATCTATGTTTACATAGTTGGCAGGAAAAATGCCAGTTTGACCTTGAAGTTTTCCTTCCCACCAATCAAAATGTGAGTCAGTTTTTGAAATAACTGTGATTCTGTCTCCAGCTTGAAAACTCAAGTCTCCAGGCTGTTGTCCTTCAAAAGAGTACAGTGCTGTCACTTCTACTGGCTGATTGGGACCATCTACAACAAGGAAAAGGATTCAAGTTATTCATGCTTTCCAGGGAACAACCAGAAGTACCTTCAGATGAGACAAAAACTGATCACCGATGGTTCAGCACTGGCTGCCTCAAGGGTGGCAGAACGCACAGCACACGCTCTGTAATGTTCACTGCGTTATTAAACTTGTGGTTTTCTCCTTTGAAAAGAGCAAATGTTTGCCGATAACATTTCCCAAACCCACATGAGTAGAACTGCACATAACTATGTATTTGCAAATATCTGTGGTCATCACTGAGTTTTGAATAATCTCTAAGATGATACTACACTTTCCCCCTTTTTCATGGAAGAGTCATTGTTATGGTCCAAATCCCCGCCTCCCACCCTCAAGTTCAATACTGAAATCCCAACCTCCAAGGTGACAGTCATGAATGAGATTAATGTCCTCATAAGAGAGGCCTCAGAAAGCTCCCTGGAACAACCAGGCAGTGCTGGCTGTGAAGTGGAAATGGAGCCTCACCAGAGCCCAATGTCCCCACGCCTTGACTTTGGACTTCCAGCTGAGAATCCTGAGAAATGAATGTGAGCTGCATTCATTCACAGGTGCCACACCTGTGGCAATTGTGGCAGTCCGAGCAGGACTGAGGCAGGTGGGATGGCTTCCATGGACTGCAGACATTACAGAAGAGCTGACCACCATGCTCACAGTGGTGTCACATAAGATTCAGTTTAAAAACAATGCTCCTAGTGAGGTTAGCCTGGCCCAAAAGACCAAAAATCGTATGTTCTCCCTCATATGTGGACATTAGATCACGGGCAAACACAACAATGGGACTGGACTTTGAGCACATGACAAAAGCAAGAGCACACAAGGGAGGGGTGAGGATAGGTAAGACACCTGAAAAATTAGCTAGCATTTGTTGCCCTTAACACAGAGAAACTAAAGCAGATACCTTAAAAGCAACTGAGGCCAATAGGAGAAGGGGACCAGGAACTAGAGAAAAGGTGAGATCAAAAAGAATTAACCTAGAAGGTAACACCCATGCACAGGAAATCAATGTGAGTCAACTCCCTGTATAGCTATCCTTATCTCAACCAGCAAAAACCCTTGTTCCTTCCTATTATGGCTTATACTCTCTCTACAACAAAATTAGAGATAAGGGCAAAATAGTTTCTGCTGGGTATCGAGGGGGGGGAGAGGGAGGGGGCGGAGTGGGTGGTAAGGGAGGGAGTGGGGGCAGGGGGGAGAAATGACCCAAGCCTTGTATGTACATATGAATAATAAAAGAAAAAAAAACAAAAACAAAACGATGCTCCTAGGTGGCCGAGGGTATGCACCTATAGTTCTAGCATGTAAGAGGCTCAGGCAAGGGGGTCCTTTGAGTACAGGGGTTTGAGGCCAGCCTGGCAGCATAGTGATACCCCCATCTCAAAAGTAAAATAAAATAAAAACTTTGTTTGCTAGCCCCGGGTACAGTAGGTTGCAGCTCAGACATATTTTGCTGCTTCGGAGCATTCTCTTTTCTCCCTGGGCTTCATGGACGCCTTCGTTTCTGCACTGACTTAATCATTCTCTCTGCAATTCAGATCAGCAAGCGGAGCCATTTATCTACACGTGTGCAACCTGATGTGCTGCACTGGGAAAACCCTTTGAGAGCAGAAGTGGTTAACTGAGTGAAAGACCTTAGATATTACAACCACGTAACACACAAGAAATCAAGAAATGATACTTTCTGTGTGATCAGCCACATGGCGTTCGTATCGCATGTAATTTTGTACATAAGTTAGGCAATTAGATACTCCAGGATGTGTCAAGGCACAGATATGCAGAAAATATAAACAACCAAATTCTAAAACCAGTTCTTTTTGAGCCCTAACCCCACAATAATAATAATAATACTAATAATAAACTGGACCTGTTCTGTCAGTCATAAGAGCCCACACTTCAGTTAAACTATGGCTGGAAACCCGGAATCCACAGCTCACACAGACCGCACTACTGCTTTCTCTATGAAGCAGGGGCCTTTGAGTCCTAAAAAATGAGCCCATTGAAAACTCACACAGCACATTAGAGATTCTACTGATAGAACAAGTTGTTTACTATAAGACAGAGAATTTCTGTATATAGTCCCTGTAGGAGTGTCACTGGGGCATGAGTTGGGCAAGGCTACCAGACAGGGCCACCAGGATAGACCTCTGTACAAAGCCTCTTCTCATAGACCTATTCTTAAAGCCTATTCTCATAGACCAGTGGTCCTCAAAGGAGCAGTGATGCCCCACAGCAACAAGCTAGACGACTGCTGACATATTAATGAGTAGCCACGTGTACCCTGTAGACAGGAGCATGATGTTCCACTGAGATGAGCACACCTGTCATAAGCTCAGAAGAACGTGTCCTTAGATAAAGTAAAAGACATTTCTGAAAAAATTCTGGGATACTCTGTAGTACTTCCACTTCACTTTTTCCAGGGCTGTGTGACAGAGCCCATGTGAAGCCCACCATCTGCCCAGACATGGTTCAGAGGAGCCTCAGTCTCTGGAGGCCACAGAAAGGAACATGGCCTGTGGCTGGGATACATCTTGCTGCTGTCACTTACACTGTTCATAGCTGATCTGATTCTGACCGGTTTCCCCCAGGCTCCATGTTGGGAGTGGCCTAGAGCTTTGGGGTCACATAGTCCCTATAAGAGTGTCACTGGGGCATGAGTTAGGTAAGGCCACCAGAATAGACCTCTGGACAAAGCTTATTCTCATAGACCAGTGATCTTCAAAGGAGCAGTACTACCCCACAGCAATGTCTAGAGGCATCTGTGGTGACATCTTGGGCAGGGGTGACAGCTTGGGGGTGGGGGGTATTGCATCAGGTTCTGTGGTCCAGGGATTCAGCTAAGATTATGAAGCCCAAGACAGCAAATCCTTGTCCAGCCTGACATGGCTACACTGCCAAGTTGAGAAACTCCTTTATGGACAATGATGGAGTGGGTAAGAGGGTGGTGATAAGCACTGATGTAAGAAGGAACAGACTTGGTCACAGAAATGTCCCTTCCAGAGTCCCTAGATGCAAATTCAGGAAACTGTACCCTTCAAGGCCTGTCTTTCTAAAACACCATCTTCCAAAGGGTGTGAGAGGAGGTGTATGTGATCTGGAGAATCATGTATCTGCAGCCCCGTATAAACCCTTAGCCCACCTCGGGCTCAGGAGGATTCAGGAGGCAGGCCTGCTTTGAGGGGTTTTCAATTTTATGCTCATGCCTGTGTGGTTTTTCTCCACAAGGATGACAGCCAGGATGCAAGGAGGTCCTGATAAGACTTCAACTGGTTTCACAGCTACTTTTTTTTTTTTAAAGTACAGAATTATAAACTGAGTTTTATTTTTAAAAAGACTTTAAAGCTTCCCTTTTGTGTTCTTTTTTTTTTTCCTTAAAAGTCTCTTCTCTTTAGAGAAGAGGCTAAAGTAGCACTTTAGCTCACCCACGGTGAACAACAGGTAAGTGGTCTTCTCTTCAGATACAATCACATGCCCTACCATAATGATTTCACCTGCAGGCCATACAACTGGTGAATGAAATTGCAAGGACTGAGATCTGCATTGCTCTCCAAAGCCCCATTAGAGCTTAAGTTCTCATCACTGATTATTTTCCTCTGTGCCATTGTAAGACACTTCTATTAAATGGGCCTCCAGTTGCTAATGTCACATAGTCATAGTCTGCCCAGGGGGGCCCGACCCTGGGCTCTCCAGGCTCTGTAGGGCACCCCAGCAGGTAGATGGTCATCTGGCTTGTCCAGTTCAAAGGCCCTTTAACAACCAGATACCTAAGTCTAGATTTAACCCCAACATTCTTTAAAGTTGAAAGTCTATGGAATGGAAGTCTAGATGCCTCAGCTTCTTGGGTATAAACATTTATCCTTTAAGCCCTTTCCTCCCACAAGACACATGCCCAAGGTCAGACTTGATCATTTCAGTGGTCTTTGCACTGTGTGGACCAGGAGGAAGTGTATTTTTAATCATCCAGAGCTTGTGAGCATCCCTAAGATCCACCCCAACCCTGTCCAGGTCAGCTCACACCATGCCAGTGCCCCACAGGACCTAGCCACAGACTTGTAGCAGGAATCATGGAGGCCCTGAACAATAGGGGCCCAGCTGAGCAAGGGCAGGCCTGAAGACCCAGATCCACCAAGAAATATGCTCAGCACATTTTATCTGCATGATAATGTTTTTAATTCATGTACCTCATTTCTTGACATGATTATTTATGTAAAATGGTTAATTCTTCAATTGTTTGTTAATTCAGTAGTATATGGTTTAATGACCTTAGTAACAAAAATGTATGATTTAACAGCTGTTTGACTTTTGCCCTCAATGTGTCCCATCTACTTTTATAAAAAGATCAAAACAAAAAAGATCAACAAAACCCTGAATAATTTTTTCAAAGAAAATTTGTAACAAATATGTAAGTAAGGCAGGCTGAAGGACTATTTTTATTATAGAAAATCTTAAGTTTTATGAAGTAGTCCCCAGTAATAGCAAAATATCTGAACAAGAAAGGTAATGAAAAAAAATCTATGTAAACAAAATTCACGGGACCAAAACCCAGAGAAAATGCAATAAGGACTACATTGAAATTCAAAATTAGCAAACTTAGCATTGAGTTCTCATAGCTATTCAAACATTCCCTGGGCCTGTGAGGATAGCATGTGGCGCTACACACAAGATCCTGCGCACAGGTACCCTGAACAAGCAGCCCTTTTCCTGGTGCCTCCTTAACCTTATTGCTCAGAATAAAGCCAATCAGAGAAGAGCAGCAGCATAGCATTTTTTCAATGAAGTAATTCTAAAACTAATGTGGATATCTTATAACTAAGGGGAAGGGTCTGAACATGAGCACTTCCTCAGAAATTTTCATAAGTTATCAGAGAAAAACTATGATTACAAGATGGCTTTAACAAAACATTTTTTACTTACCAACACTCTTGTGATAGCTGGAAAGCTCAGGATACAGTTTATATTCATTACCTGCAAAAAGGGGAAGATTTAGAAAGTTTATCAGAGTGTGCGCAACACACAAAGGCCAAATCCCGCCCTAGTTAAGTGGTGGTGTTGGTAGGAGTATCACCATGTGGTCATGCTGCATGTTGAGGGTACCTGAAAACACACACAACACCAAGCACTAGGCAGTTTAGGTACTGAAAACTGCGTGATGCAAAACACCTCTTCCAGGAGCAACCACAAATACCTAAATGAGAAATATCTTCAGCCCCCAGCCAGTGACTCCTAAACATTCCTGCTTGCTTAGCCCCAAAATAATTTAAGACATCTGTATTCATGCTGCTGTATTATTTCTTGTTGACACCTTTAGTTCAATATGTTTTTGTAACATATTCTGCATAATGATTATTTAAGTTAAATAATCACATTTCTGGTTTGTGAATAGGGAACTCTCCATATCCCAGTGATCGAATCTCACTGCGCTGGTTAAAAAAAATCAACAAGCTACTTCTAGTAGTCAGACTGTACAGCACTCACTTTCAATCTCTGAACCATATTTCCATTCCATTTGTCCCAAGATCTTATGGTAATATATTAATATTATATTTTATGTAATAGTTTCCACAACAAAAATCTGTATTTAAATTTATTTTTTAATTTTAAGTAAACATAGGGACTAATAAATAGCTCCTTAAAGATTGAGTTACTATTTATAGTCATTATTTGTAGACAAATGATCAAAATCTTAAATATATTCTGAACTTTTTAGCTTACTAAACATAAAAGTAAAATTTTATTTGAAATTCTTCTCAATAGATGGATGAGACTTTTTAAAATTAATTTTTCACACAGGAAGACTATTGCTTGTAGGTTCAATATCAAATTACATTTTAGTGATCCTTTTTATAGATACAAGTGCTAAGAGAAATGAGTCTTTTTTGTTGTTGTTTTCTGTTTTTGACAGGGTCTTATTATGTAGCCCAGGCTGGTCTTGAACTCTTGGACTTAAACAATTCTCCTGCCTCTACCTCCTGAGTAGTTGGCACCACCATAAAGGAGGTTCTTAATAAAACTAGAGAGGGCTGGCAGGATGGCTCAAGTGGTAGAGCACCTGCCTAGGAAGCATGAAGCCCTGAGTTAAACCCCAGTACCACCAAAAAAAAAAAAGGGAATAAAACCAGGGAAGACTGGAAGGAGGTATTTTACAGTTATATAACTATGTTCTTTATAGTCCTGAGATACAGGCCAAAAAATGCATAGCTATCATGAAAACAACATAATAAAAATAGCTATAAGACAATAAAATATAGTAATTATTTAGATGACAGACAACTATGTGACTTTCAAAGTAATTACTATATAATGATGCTATTAAGTACTGCTCTCATTATGAGTTCTGATTCAATCAGGTCCCTCCTTAACTTGGTTGAGAGCAGAGAAATTGCCCGTTTATGGGAGGACTTGCTGTCCCATCAGTCATTCACTAACCATATTCCATCACTTCCACATTTCAGATTGGATCTTGTTCTTACACTTTGGGGCAACAGTGAGAACTCAGAATCAGAGTGGATTGCAGGTTTTCTTTTCTTCTTTAAGTGCAGAAAAATGACTGTGAAAGACAGAAGAGGAAGAGGGAACCTGTGGGCCAGACTCTCAGCTAGGCTGACTGAGATAGAACTTCTCCATGAACTGGAGTTCTGGAAATTGCATCCCCAGAAGCTGCCTGCACCCACCTGCCCCTGGAAGGCTCAGTGTACCCTGTGAACAGTCTATCTATGAAGTTTATGGATATATGGACAGAGAAGTAAGCACTGGCAGGCCAAAGAGGAGGACATAAATATTCCAAGAGTGTCTACTTTGAGAAATTGACTAGAAACAATTTGGGGTAGATGATCAGTTATTAGATAAACAAAATACGTGCCAACTATGACTTCTTCAACTATGAAGTGAAAATGAGAACCTTGATTATACAGTACAGAGGATTAAATCTAACAGAAAAGTCACAGAATCTATGAAATCTTACAAAAAATGTAAAATAACATCTCAACAAATGGAAGGCATAAATGGGAAGATTATGATACTTATCAAATTAATTCATACTACATGTAACATTATTATAATTGGTATCAAAGAATAAATACACAATATTACTTTAACTGGACTGCATATTGGGAGAAGAGGTAAGAATTGGTAAAATGATTTAAAGTGTTTGAAAAATAAGTATCCAGGAATTAGAAAACAATATCACAAGAAAATCTAGGAGACTGAATGCAATCTTACATAGGACTTAGGTGGACCTTCTTAACCATGACAAAAAATCCACATCTATAAGAACTAGATGACAGGCACATTTTTACGTAAAGATAAAACTTTCAAATAGTAAAATATATGAAAAACAAGATCAAAAGACAATAAACAGAAAATATTACAACCAGTGATGGATCAAGCCCTTAATATGCAAAGCACTTTCACAAACTGAAAAAGAAGACAACTATCCAAACAGCCAAAGATAGAACAATGAAATGAAGAGACTTTTCATTCAAGATTAAATCCAAAATACCAGCAAGTAAATAAAGAGATCCTTAAATTCATAACATGCTCCAATTAACAAGGAGATGTGAGCAGCAGTGAGGAATGATGTGCTGAGGGGTGCTGTGGTGGACATATGAATGGAGGGATACATATGGTGCAGTGTGTATGTGGGGACTATATGGTGGGCAATAGGGTGGGTGGGCAACAAGGTAGTAATGTTTGTGGTGAAGCATGCCAAGATTTAATATGAGGGTCCTGTGCTAAAAATTGGAAGAAATGGACACAGAACATGAAGAAAGGGTCTGAGGACAAGCTTCCTGACCTCTGAAGGGCTTTATATTTACTATGACACTTCTCCCAAATAGAAACATAGGAAGCAGTTACAGTTTTACATGCAATACCTCTCCTTCTACACTGAAACTCTGTAAAGGCAAGATCTAAGTCAGTCATCTTTATAGTCTCAAAGTCACAGCCTAGTGGTACACAGCTGTAATCCCAGACACTTGGGAAGCAGACCTAGAAGGATCTTGAGCTCAAAGCCAGCCTGGGTAAAGTTAGTGAAACTGTCTCAAAACCAAAATATCAAAACAAAAGGACTGTGGGACATGGCTCAGGTGGTAGAGTGCTTGCTTAACATGCGTGAACAAGGCCCTGGGTTCAATCCCAAGTACCACAAACTAAAAAAAAAAGAAGAAAAGAGGAAAAGAAAAGAAAAGGAAAATCACCTTATGGGATCCTGAGCTCCCAGGAACATAAGATAACATCAATACTTATAAAGGTGAATCTTTGAGTATGAATGGAAAGATAGGTTGATTTGTTCCCATGTCAAATCACTGGGAAGAAATGATACGTGATAAAAAAAAATTAGAGATAAGTCTCCTAGATTTAAGAAAGCATCTTATGGATGAGAACAGAAATTTTCACAAATTACAGCATTGAGATTTGTCTTACAATTTAGCAGAGGAAGAACATTTATTTTTTAAATACTCATTAGGTCTTCTATTTGACTCTAAAGCATAGGAATTTTGCTTGATTTATTAACAATAACACTTAATAGTTACTTGACAACAATTGCATTTAAATTGTAACAGGAGTATTTACTTTGGGATCCGGAGTTCAGCTGGCCTGGTGAGGATGAGTGCTGTGGTCTTGACAGTGGCGATGGTTTTGGAGGTAATTCTTTAGCCTGGGAGGAACAAGAATAAATGCACACAATTCTAAAACCCTCTTTTTACTCAGGAGTACAGAAGGCTTTTGTTTCTAATGAGTTTATGTAGCAGATTTCATCTTATGTGCCTATTAATGAGGCACCCTGAGTGTTCACATGTAAGCCTTTGGGTCCTGTGCCATTGAACCTAAGGAGGCCCAGTCTTGGGTGGGGAGTACTCTCTCCTACTTCAGTTCCCCACCCCTTTCACAACTGTGCAGTCTGGTAGGGCTACAGATACAGTGCCTGTGCTTTTCAGGCATATTAGCTGGGAAAAGGCTGACAACTTAAACCCTATGCTTGTTTCATCCTGCACAGCAGAGACCAAGCAGAGAATAAAAGGGTATTGTGGGACAAGTTGGGTAACACCCACAAAAGCCTGGGTACTTCAAGGCCCAATGTGGCAGCAGCTGGTTTTAGTTTCGTTGGTTAACATCACCAAGATTCATCCTTAGGAGAATGAAACGATAAAAGACAAACTATTTTCCTTGATAGCTGCTTAGACAACCTCACAGTCCCAGGACATTTTCATCAGGACTCTATGTACACGATCATGGAGGAAGCACTGTAGGTCAACTGGGAACCTAATACTAGAGACATAATGCTCTGAGACAGAACTTTCTTGTGGCCACTGAGAGACCAGAAAAGCCAAACACCACAGCACCTTTCTCTGCTCCCTGGCTGCTTTCCTGGCATTGATGCGTTGTCCTTCACTTTCATACTTTTCAGTAAAGGAATCAAGAATTTCATAAAGATCTTCTGCTTGAGCAGGCCGTGGAATGTCACCAAATAAAATGTCATAAGCTCGAATGTCCTGACAGTAAAACCTAAAAGTGTAAAATCAAGAACATTTCTTTAATAGACACAGATCTTTCCTGGAGTGCGTACATATGTGATCATTCTTATATACCACATTTTAAAAACTAACTACAAGCCTGACCCCACGTCTGACTCTTAGATTTACCCCCATGCTAGCCTCTATGGGAAGCTACCGTAAATATTCTGATATACACCCTTTCTCTTTCAAAACAAAAAGCAAACCATATATACATGTAGTATACACATTTATATTGAAATACAAATATATATATACAAGTATAAACATTTTCAAAGGTTTTTACTTTTTAAGCTTGTTACAAAAATCATTCCTACATACATGGCTTTGTTCTTTAAAATGTTTCTTTTTATCAAAATTAAATGAAGATTTGCCTTGCGAGTCTGGAAGACAAGCAATTCATTAAGGAGTTTTTTTTTTTTAATTTTATTGGGTTTTAGTCAAACTTTAATGGAAAAGGCTTTAGCGCCAAAAGGTTAGAATCAGGAGCTTCTAAAAAGTATTCTTAAATTGTATTTCTCAAACCAATAAAACCAGAAGTGGCAACATGGCTTTTAATTCTGTAAGATGACGAGCTCTCAACATTTCACGTTCCTCATTCCTACTACTGCCAGCTTTTCCAGCTTAAGTTTAGCATTACACTTGTGCTACTGAAGTCCTGGGAGAACTGGCTGTGGACTGGGGCCAGTACTGCACGCCTACAGTGCTGGGCCTGAGGCTGTACCTTACCAGCAACATGGGCTGTGACTCCAGAGTCTGCAGGCTCTGAGCCTCTACTCTTCCCTGCACCTTATGCACTCTGTAGCCTGATTCTAAGAGCTGCGTTGGGAAAACTATCCAGACCTCACACTAAAGCTTCCCTTCAGCTCCTAAGATTCACCCAATACAGTTTTTTTTAAAAAAACAAACAGTATTTTTAATCAAAAGTAGCCTCTGTTTGATGTGGATGGAAGACAACGGCAGTGTGTGATAAGAGGAAGTCTTTCACAATGACACATTTGATTGCCCCCAAGTTTACCTGGTAGGCAGGCCCTTGACAAACTCTTGCAAAATATAGATTATACAATGTCTTCAACTAGTGGACTATTATGTGGCCTCTAACTTATGCTAATAGTTCTTAAATTATATCAAATGGAAAAACATATTTACAATTAAACATATACTGCAATTATAATCATATTGGAAAAATAAGGGAAATTATGCTAAGAAAATGGGAGGAACTAAAACAAAATGTAAACAGCGTCAGTCTTAAAGATGTAGAATGTTTGGGGGATTTTTTTCTGAATTTTCTGTAAGCATATACTACTTTTATCTTGAATTTTTAAATGTAAATGTTTTTACATTTATACTTAAAACCACATCTTGTTATATTTAAGAATATCAAGTATACTCTGTAAACTCTTAGGAAGTGTATCAACTTTGATGTATCATCTGGTCACACATTCTTTTTAGTCAATTAGAATCACTGTAGCATGAACTTACTTCCGATTAGTTTCTTTTCTTTCAATCAAACAGCTCCCTTCTAGGGAGATGCCAGCAAACAGCCCCCTTGATTTGCAGTATGTGAAGACAGCTGCAGAGCTTCTCAGGGCCACGTTTCCTTCCAGGTTCCTGCAAAGGATGGCAGTACTGAGACAACTACTCGAGTAGCCTAACTTCTGGACAAGAGAATGGTCTCATTCTGCCCTGGTAGGTATTACTTCTTTTGCTAAGCTAGTGTCTTAATATGACCTAGAACAGAAGACAGGCCTGGAAGAACATGTCACATGGAATTACTGTGGAAAGGTGTGGTGGCAGGAGGGCCACACTGGAGAGGGAGACTGAAGGCTGGCTATTTCTGCACCAGGAATTGTATCTCAAAAGTGCTGAGAAGTCTGGATTCTTCTTACATAAAGTATTTTCATGCACGTTAGACCCCTTTTTAGATGGCTTTACTGTGTAACTTCTACTTTGCTCATAACCCAAGAATAGTATGTAATTAACAGAGAAAGAAAATATATCCAAGTATCATGAACAATGCTCAAGTAAGACTCAGGCATTTTAAATTTTCATGATTTAGCTTGAGAAAACCTTTTCCTTTCCTGAGCAACACTGCTTCTTATCTGTTAATAAAATTTGACTTTCCTTGGCTCCCTTAAAGCTTAAGGTAAATTTAATGTTCAATTTCAACAGAAACCATGTCCTGTATTTTTGAAACACTTTGTTTCTTCTTGTGAGTTCTGGTTTCACATTTTCTAGTTTATCCCACTGACTGTTTTTTGTGATGGCCTTGAATTCTCTGGTGGATACAGAAATCATAAGTTGGTTTTAATCCAAATTTCCTCTCAATGAAAAAAAAATAAGTACTTTTTAAGACTTTGTGATTTAACATCTGTTCCAAAAATACCTTACAGGACTCACCTTCCCAAGGGCCCAACTGCCACAGTAAAATTTCCTCCCAGCGTCAAGTTTCCACCCTTTGCAAAAGCTTCTACGGCTCTGTCATAGTTCAGAATTATTACTAAATCCGATACCTAAAAGGTAGAAACCCACTTATTTAAAAATAATTACGACTAAAGATCATGTAAAGTGTATGTTGATTTAAAACCAAATATACCAGGTATAAAATTTCAGTGTAGACAGAGAATAAATATGAAGCAAACATGAAAAAAGAGCCATTATTTTTGAGCTAATGAAGTAAAAAGCCAACATCGTGCAGGTAATTATGGCAAACACTTGTGAACTACCTGTGTCTAAGCTTCACTGGGAGGTCTCCTGCACAGTCTCCTTTACTACTCCAATACCTCAGTGAGGTTGCAAACTGCCACTAGTAATAATCAGAACAGATGACAACCGTAGGTGCAAGGGATCAAATGTACTCTCTGATTTCCTCAACTAAGGAACCCAGACCCTGAGAAGGTATACCTAGGACTGTGAGGCTGTGGGTCCAGGTTGGCTCCCAACCTCTACTCTTGGCAAGGTCATGTGCTTTTTACCAGGACACTTGAATATAAGCCACAGCAGTTCAAAGCTTAAGAACCCAACTGGCTTCCATTAGTAATGCCCATGACTATCAATAATTTTTATCTAAGTAAGAGCAAAAACTAGAATGAGATTCAACCTGCTCCCAGAACATCAACATGAGGAAAGTATTTCTCAATTTACTATGGCTGTGGGGAGCCAAAAGTTAGAACAGAAAAATAACCTGACCTACCAAGTGTGAGACTCCAGCACTACTGGGAGAGTTAGGGTACACCACCTAGCCCCTGACCTCTGATTTTTTTTTTTTTTTTTTTTTTACTGGCTGTACTGGGGTTTGAACTCACAGCTCCATGGATGTGAGGTAGGCACTCTACCACTCAGCCAGCCAGCAACATAAGAGAATCAAAGAGGAAGCCTTGCTAACCATGTGCAGGTCCTCAACTGTGGAGCCAGCACAGCCAAATCACTCACCAACGAAGCTAACAATAAGCACACTGCCTTAAGTATGTGGATACAGTACAGACCTGAGATACACCTCATCTAGGTGGCTCTGGGGCTACTTGAACACCATAGTGCACTTACATAAACACAATGGCTACAATGTAACTGGGCAATACAATCTCATTGAATCATCCTATATATAGGTAATTGTTGACCTAAGTGTCATTAAATGGCAGGAGATTGTATTATCTGAAACATTGTTTTCAAAAAAAATTATGAGGCAAGCAATGAAGAAGGTATGTGTGACCAATATGTAATAACACAAGTAACTGCCATTCTGATCATCTGGACTTCAGGGTTAGCACAGAAAATCCTCAAAATATGTTCAAAGAATAACAGAAAAAATGGTAAAAAAGTAAAACCTTTGTGCTAAGAATGTCTCATCAAAAAGAGAAAATGTACCAGTATTACAAGGAGATAAAAATCATAGAAAAGAGCAAATGAGATTCTTGAGTTAAAGTACATTATCAAACTTGAAAATTCATTATCAGACTCAATAGCAGATCTGAACAGGAAGACAAAGAATGAATGGCATGACAATAGAATAGAGACACAAATCATGAAAACTAAGAGTAAGACTTAGGAAAAAGGAACAGAACATAAAACTACGTCCACATGAAATATGCAAGTTGTATGACATGGGCATCAGAGGTGAGGAGAGAGGAGCAGAAAGTTTTCAAAGAAGCAATGACTGAAAACTTCCCAGTTTGGTGAAAAATGCTAATCTACACTCAAGAAATGTATGTGTCAGGAGATCTACCCAGACCCATAACTGGAAAATGTGAGAGAACAAAGATAAAGTCTCAATAGCAGCAAGAGAAAAAAATGACTCAACAAGTAAAGGGAACCCAGTAAGAGGAATGGCAGTGAAGATGAGGAAGTGAGATTTCAAATCAAAGTGTTGGAGGAAAAGCCTATCAACCTGTAATCTTGCATCCTGCAAGATATTCTTTTGAATACAAAGATGAAATAAAGATATTCCCAGATTAAAAGAAAAAAAATCTGAGGGAACATGTTGGTAGTGCACCCATGATGCAAGAAATATTAGAAACAGACAGTAATTCAGGTTGAAATCAACTGACCTTAGATAGTAATACAAAATCACATTGTAAAAAAGAGCCCGAGTACAGAAAATGGTGCAATTATCAACACAATATAAATGCATACTTTTCTTCTTTCTTCATCTAACTGACTGAAAATGTGTTTTTGAAACACTTCTGGCCTATAACATAGAAACTTAACACATGTGACAACCACAAGTAAGGGGGACCAAGTGAGAGCAGAGCTGAGTTGCAGAAAGAAAATGACTTGAATCCAGAGACAACTTAACAGAACCAAACATAGTAAGTAAGAAGGTTGATATAAATAGGTTTGATAATAAACATTTGCTCTCAATTCTTCACTTTTTTCTTTAAAGGACATAAATTATGTAATTATTTGCCATAATAACGTTTTGTTATGCTTGCAATATACAGAAATAATATAATAGCAATGGCACTAAAAAGCCAAAAAGAGAACACAACTATATAGATGGAACATTCTTGAATTTCATTAATTTAAGTTATTATGAATTTGAAATTATTTCTGATAAGCTAAGATGTAATATAAGCTCTTTAGCAACCACTAAGAAAATGACTCAAAAACATATCAAAAATATTATTAAATGGTTAAAAATTATACCTTCCAAAATATTCACTTAATTTAAAAGAAAGCTGTAAAGTAGAAACAGAAGGACAAAAACAACATGAGATGCATACAAAAGTAAAATGTCCAGACACAAATTCAACCATAGAAATAATATTACACGCACAGATTAAACACTATGGTTGATTCATTCTATACAAGAATGAATATAGAATTTTTAAACTTGCTGAAATCACTATAAGAAGGGGACTAAGGTAGAAAGGAAAGAAATGGAGGGGATGAACCAATTCGGGTTATAATACATATATACATAGAATTGTCACAAGGAAACTCTCTGCACAGCTATCTTAAACAAACAAAAATGCCTTTTTTCAAAACCAGAAAACAGGTCCTGTCTAGGAGTTTGGCACCAGTGGGAAGGGGGAGGATATAAGGATAGGGTATAGGGGGTGAATGTAGTAGAAATATTATGCACTCATGTATGAAAATAGAAAAAACAGACCTGTTGAAACTATTGCAGGAACGGGGGGAGGAGGGATAAAGGAGAATGATGGAGAGGGTGAATTCAACTATGATTTTTGTAAGAACTTTTGTAAATGTCACCATGTACCTCCAGTACAACAATAATATGATAATAAATAAATAAGTAGAGGGGGAAAAGACAGACTGTCTGGATTTTTTAGAACGTTCAATCCTATGCTGTTTATAGGAGACACACTTTAGATTCAAAGAAGCCAAAAGACTGGGAGTAAAAGGATTAGTCTCTCAACACTGAAAAGAAAAAATGCTATTTGGCATGATACCCAGACCATATCCCCTGGGCTTAAATGGAGTTGAGGGTTGTCCTGGAGGGAGGCCAGGATGTGCAGAAGTGGAAGTCTAGGGGCTGATCTGTATAAAGGAAATGCTCCCCAAGAATGGAGAGATACAGGGAGCCAGGGTTGCTGGGAATTCCACAAGAGGGCAATGTTTCTGAAGGCACTGATTTCCCCTCATAGGATGCAAAGATGTATCCCTGTGAATAGAACTAAAATATGCTGTGTTTTTATACTGCAGATTTATGCAGAAGTGAGTCAAAGAAAGAAGAGTCTGCAGAAATACTTCCTCCTAATGAGGCTGAAAAAATTTAAAACTCTTGCCACAGAGCAAATTCATAAAAGAATAGCTCTATAAGAAACTGACTGAAATTGGAGAGAAAATGATTTGAGCATATTTGGAGACTTGATTTACCAACCAAGTAGCCGTAACTGGCAGATAAACGAGAAGGTAACCCCCACTTGGCAGACCTCTACAATAGGTCCACTCTAATGTGCAACTGCTAATCCACTGGATAACAGTCATGAGCATTAGAAAATAATACAGAATAATATGAAATTAATGAAATTAATATGAAATTAATCTACCAACAGGTCCCTCCTCATGTGTAATTTCTACTCCATGGATAAGACCATGAGCATTCGAAGAACATTTATAAACTAAAATAATGTGAAATTAATCTTTACTTAAAGGATTTGAATATCAGATGTTTCAGAATGGATTTTTGCCACTAATGATGACAGACTGAATTAGGTTTGCTCTGTCTCATGACCCAAATTCCAGCTTGCCCAACAGCCCATGGAGGGAGAAAGCAACTCTGCAGTTAGCACCATACGTTGCAGATGTTGGGATGATGTGTTGTGTGGATGTGGTTAAGATGGAAACAGATGAAATGGTGAGTGGGAGGGAGGAAAGAACAGTCCTAAGAGAGAGATGGATGGATGCGGGGGACAGGAAGGGAGAATGAGAATGAAATAAGAGAGAATAATTTCTATGAGCGTCAGAGGCAAATTAGCAGCAGGAAGTCTCTTGATGTTTATGTGTTGAGTCTCAGGTGCTTTTAGGGAATGCAACATAATCCACTTACCTCAATTCCTATTTCAAATCCCCCACCAAGCCCAGCTATCCCAATGGCTGAAGGAGCAGACCATTCTGATAAAAACAAACAAGTACACAAAATGCAATTTCATATTTAACATACCTGACATATGAATATGAGAAAAATAATAGTTCCCTTTAAAATGAGACTCACATTTTTTCCTTTATGTTAAAATGTTCTTTCAAAAGCATATGCAATCTTTATAAAGCTGAAGATATTTGAATAGCAGTAAGTGTTCATCATCATGTCTCTGACTCATAAGTTCATGCCCTTTAAGCTTTCTCTAACATGCATAATACCAAACAATTGGCTTCCTACTCAATAACATGCATAATATTTGATCATTTCAATTACCATTAATTTTTATCATTTAGCTCCTGTCTAGTCTTTGGCTATAATTCTGTCACAGACATGAGAGACTAGGATTCAAGAATTTGTTACAATCATTCCTAAGGGCAACATCAGACTAAATTGTTGCCATTGTGAATTTCAGAGCTCAGAACTGTTTTGGTCCCTCTTGTGCTGACAGAAGCACAAGAAACAGGCTACAAATTCAAAACATAAAATTCTAGTAAAATAAATTTCTTTGCATATGGAAACAGTATAATAATCCCATTTGCCATGATATGGAATATTTAGGACTGCTATGTACTTATTTTTCCTGATATAGAAACAATTTATGCTAAACAAATCTAGAAAAAGTATTTTAACTTGGTGAGGGGAAGGAAAGAAGAAGAGTCTAGCAATGCCTTCCTAACCTACCGTCCCTTGTTAGCAGACCAAGTTTAGAAAACAGATGTTGTTTGATGTTTCAGAACTGACCTGCTGGGCAAGGAGGAATTGGGATTACAGAAATCAGTGTCTGATAATCCCAAAGCTATTTTTCATTTCCTGTGTTAGGAACTGTCTGGCTTATGGCCTCTCCTCTGGGATCAGGAACTTGCCTTGCCTTATTTGGACAGTTTTTAAATTATTCTCAGCAGGGTGCACAGCTGCTGCTCTAGAGGATGGGGAGAGAAAAAACCTTTTAAAATTGGTAGAAAGGTCCAAGATGAGGGACAGGAGAGTAGGTCCTACCCTTTCTGCAACAGTTGCCTGTCAGAGGGGCTCTGGTTTTGGGCCTTCCTGCAGAGGCCAGTCACTCTGACAAGGACCCCTTTGGAAGGTGCCTTTGCTTTGTGTTTTCACTGCTGAGACATGAACATTCAGCCAATGCTGGATAAGGAGAGCATCATCTTTTTCAGTTTCTTTTAAAGATTTGACTTTCTTTTTATTCTTTTAAAACTGTGACAATTTTTTTTTAATCAACTGAGATGTTCTGATCTACATGTTTCGTTGAACTTTTATATGAAGGGTCTGCAGCGAGGAAGCAATTGTTGAATGTGCCACAGGTGTTCAGGTATTACACTGTGGTTCAACACCAGAGACAACACTGAGCTATGAAAGCAGAGCCACGACTATGGGGAGGGGGAAGATACTCTTGTTTGCTGTGGGAACGCAATGGCAGGAAATATTGAATTCAACTGTTAAAGGATATGTTTCCTAAACACTTGTGTTTATTGAAGCATGTGTCTTAACCAATACTTGTGTTTGCTGGCTGCAAGTATAAATTACAGTGTTACAATGAACTATTAACAGAACAATGTGTTTCCTTATACGACAGAACAGCAAATGTCAAATTTTATAAAAGGTATTTTAACTGATTATGATACCTACAGAAGTTTTAAAGATTACTATAAACATTGATTCTTGGGATTCATAGCAAATACATTTTGATTTCATCTCTAAAAACTCAAATAGACTACCCCCCATAAACCACACCAAAATATACTGTTCTCAACATGGACGACATACAAAATGTACATGCAGCAGAGTCATGTCTACTCTTGAGTCACATCTAGTAATCTAAGACTCTCTCCCTGCTTACTTTCTGACAGATACTGCATGTCCTGTGGAGCAGCTAGGATGACATCAACTTACCTGTCACACTCCTTATAAGGACATTCGCAAATGAAAAAGAACAGATAAGAATTAAGGTCCCTTTACATGTGTCAACTTACTTCCATCTGGAAGGCGTGCCAGGACAATCCCGCTGCCTCCTCTAGCTGTCACCAGAAATCCAGCCTTAATCACAGACAAGACTGCAAGGCCTTTTGCCTTTGCAATCACATGGGCTGCAAACAAACAAACAAATAATGACCAAAAGGCAGCTTGTGTCAAAACTTTGATCTTAATACCATGCAGCTAAGTTCACCTTGAATTCAACAATAAAAATTAAATTACTTTGCCACTTTCAATAGTTTTAACTTCATAAAATGATCTACAATATTCAAGTACTACCACTTTACTAGTACACTAAAAATACAACTCAACTTACAAAACTGGTTTATTCATATTTCAGAGAGCTCATTATATAAAATGAGGTCTACTATGTGTATATATTATGTGCATATAGACCTATAGGCAACACCTCACTGTTCCGTGACTCTGTTTACCCAATAACACATCTTTCAAAATAACACAGAAAGCCCCAAAATATGACTAAATCATAGTTTAATCTATCATTTTCTCTGTTTAATAGTCTGTCAAGAAAGTAAGACCAGACGCTGTACTCTTTCATTTACAATACAGGATGCACTGATGGCAGATTTACTTTCTCAGTTAGGTTTCACTTACATCTCAGAGCCTTTAACATTAGAGAAAGGCAAACTCACACCACTGAAGTTAGGAAGCACTGTTTACCCACAGCCTATGAACACAGATACCGATATACACTAAGATGCTTTCAACCCCCGCTGTAGAGTACTGCTACTGACAATTCAGGTTTTCTGCTTGAACTTTCTTTACTCTTGAAAGCAGTGCTTCTTAAGTGCATTTATGCATGCAGTTCACTGGGGACCCTGTGAGAAATGAAGACTCATGAGGCCTGAGCAGATCTCTTATAAGCTCCCAGAATGTCCAGAACTGAGTCTGTTTGCACCCAGATGGAGCAGCAAGGCTCCAACAGAACTGTTCTCTTAGGATGAGGGAACCCCCCCCCAAGGCCAATGTAACCATAATTAATATTATTATTAATATTGTTATAACAAAATTCTAAAAATCACTTGAAGCGCTATTAAATGACTTTTGAAAGTCTAGCTCACAAAAATTAAACTGGTTTGTTTAAGGCAGGATAGAGTCAAGTACTGTGATTGATTAAGAGGAAAATTAGTCTGTAGCACTCCCCAAGTTAACCACATGTAAATACTCTTGGCACGAGGCAAATATTCCATGAAACACCTTTGGAAATATCTGGACATTGGATATAGTAATCAACAAGTAGTGGCTCCCAAAGGCTCACCTCTGTGCCAGGTGACATGTGGCCAGCCTGATCACCAATCACATAGGAAACATGTCAGACACAAGTATCATTGACCAACTGCTCTGAGTCTGATTCAGGGTGTTGGAGTGGATTCAGGGCCTGTATTTTAATTCAGTATACTTCAAGGGGATACTTGATGCACAGCTGTGCTCGGAATTATTCACCAATGTCTTCTTGAACCACTATAGAATCTGAATATCTTAGGTAGCAGGAAAAAGCGTAAGAGTAAAATTTCTATGTGCGATTAGCTAGTGAGTTTGCAAAGTCTCAGGAAGTGATGAAAAAACAAGAGAGTTTGAGGAAAGCTGAAGTGGACAGGGACTTAGGGGTTCAGGGCTTTGGCACCTCTTAGTGGAAGCAGGAGGCAGAGGTAAGGAGGAAAGCCCACTCCTTGGCTCTGGTCCACAGCCAGACCTACTGAGAAGACTTCCTAGGAGAAGCAGCCCCAGACCAGCCCTGAGGAAAAAGGTTATCTAAATACTCACTGCTGTCAGCAGGATCTGCTGCTTGACACAAAATGCTAAAAGATACAAAAAGCAATTTAGAAAACAAACACATCTAGAAATTTGCCTACCAGGAATGATCTTATCAGGTCCATTTCTAGAAGTTATTTCTGTGAATTCTCTTAATATTTTAGCAGCCTTCTTTGCTTCTGATTTCAGATTGGAAGGTATAGGGTTATTCACTGAAAGATTAAAAAGATATCTCAATGAAAAAATCTACTACATAGAAATCCAGAATTAACTCTTTTCATTTTCTCATACAAAATTACACAATAATAAATTGTCAGACAATGGAAATGATTTCCAAGTGCTCAGTTATTAACTTTATATCTGTTTTCCTAAAACATCAAATCTACTCAGGTGGGAAAACCCTAAAGTCTCAAAATCTCAGAAATTATAAAATGGTTGCACCCTAAGGATCTTAGACAAAATCTGGCCTTTCTTCCCCATTATCTGTATTCTCCCCATAATTCATTCACCTTGATTCTATAAGATTAGTTTAAAAAATTAGTGAAAGATGCATTTTTATAAATGTCTATATAACAGACAATATAAAATTTAATATATTTTATCAGAAGTGCTTGAACTGGCTGCCTGTAGATTTTCCTACAGTAAAAATCTGGGCTACTCAGGAAGGTATGCCTGTTCCTGTATCACATTTTACATTTCCAGGGTTTCCTGCACATTCATAAACACCTGTGTTTCTTTGTTGTAACAGTGCACATGCACATATAACCATTGCATGCTGCAGTATTTTGGGGAAGGTAAGCTATTCTCTCCTCACTGAACAAGGGATCAAAAGAGCCAATGAAGTCCAATGAAGCTCTAATGTAAGTCCAGGTGAGTTCAGACGCTGAGGATTTCTCATCTAATTGTCCTAGGTTACAAGGTTCTTCAGGTGGAGACGGATGAAGGCATTTGTTCCACTGTTTCGGTTGGATGATTTTCAGAATGGCATGCTGAGGATGCTTGGAATCAACAGACAGAAGGAATGACTAAACAGCACAGGGAAAAAAGTCTTTTACTCATCAAAGTATGGATTCTTATACTAAAACAATACAACACATTTTGGTGTCTACTATGTTTGAAATGTGTAATTTATTTTAAAAGTAAAACAGAACTAAGGTCATATCAGAGTTTTATTTTGTTTTCTTAATAAGCGATCACTTTGGTTCTTTGTAGACCAACCCAGGAGCATTGCTAAGACTCAAGCCAGTGGAAAGTTCATCCCCAAATAGTCAGCAGTATTAGATTGGGAACAATATATTTTCATAGTCTGTGCAAGAAAAATAAAATGTATATGATGTGTGTGTGTGTGTGCAAGTACACATGTGCATATACCTTTCAACCTTTGGCATCATAACATTAGTATGTTTCAGGATTTTTTTATTTTTTTAACTCTTTTATTTCAGAATAAATATTGGCTCTCAATGTAGGTAGGCTTTGTGTATAACTTACAAAATGAAACTCACCTATTTTACAGGTATAGCTGATTGAGCATGCACATTTCATCCCCTTGAATGGCTCTCTCCTGCCTTTTGCAGTCAATCCCATCTATCTCCAGCACCAACATCAGGTAAGTGGTTAATTTTTCACCATGTTAGTTTCATCTGTGCCAGAGTTTCAAATAAATGAAAGTAAACAGTGTCTATCCTTTCCTGGCTGGCTTATTTCACAAACCATAAAATTAATAGGAGTCACATGTTGGGCATGGATCAGAAGTCCATCTCTTTTGTCAGGCTGTATTGTAATATGTTGGAACACCATAATTTATTCTTCCATTCACTTGTTAACAGACAACTACATTGCTTCCAGTTTGGGCTGTTCCAAATAAAACTGCTATAAAAATATTTCCATAAAGATCTTTTGTGCACAAATGTTTTATTTCTCTTGGATAAATATCTAGGATAGGGACTGTTAGTTCATAATGGTAAGTGCATGTAATGGTAATTATATAAGAAGCTTCCAAAGAGTTATCTGAAGTGGTAACATTTTATGATTCACCAGAAATTCGGAGAGGTCCAATTACTCTACAACACTTGGTATGATCAAACTTTTAGATGTTAGTTTAGTGGCATACCAGTGTAAACGTAGTTTTGATTTCCTGTGTGATTATGCTGAAACTTTTCCTAATGTTCATTTCTGTTCTTTATGGTTTATAGATTTTTTTTTCTGGCCATTTAAAAATGTATTTTTCCCTTATAAAAGATCCCTACAAACTATGGATATATATCCCCCGTCAAACACAAACAAACCCCTTACTTTTTTTCTCCAGTTTAAGGTTTACCTTCCTAAATGGTGTCTGTTGAAATTTGGGGCATTAGTTCTTAAAATACATTTAATGCCTCATTTCCCAATCTTGGCACACAAATTCCAAATCTATTAGGTGTTTTTTTTCTTTCTCCCGCCACCACCCCCCCACCCCCCAGCAACGTGTCACTGAGACTGTTCCTGTTCTCCTGGCCTGTTTCTTTGAGCTTTGACCATTTACAGTTGCTGTATCTTCAAGTTCGCTTTAAATACTGTGCTTTCAGCTTCAGTCCATTTGTTTCAGTCCCTACCATTTGTGTCCTGTTTCGTCTATGCTGTCCTCAAGTTCTCAAGCACATTTTGCACCCATACATGGTTACTGTCACTTCCGGCCTGTCTCCACCATTTCTGGCCCCGTCACTTCCGGTCCTTCTTGACCAATCCCCCGCACGCGGGTATGCATTTTCCTGTTCCGCTCTTTCTGTTAGTCTGCAGGCTTCGGGATGCCAAGACTGGCAGAGTTGAGAGACCATATTTTGGGTCTCTATCCAGGCAGCTTTTGGGCCCGTTCGGCCCTGTGGCTGCAGCCGGGAGCTCCACCTGGCTTGCTTGCCCTTCTGAGCCCCACAGGCCACAATGCGCACGTGCAACCCCGGGGGTTCCGCCGCCGTCACCCTGGCTCTGGAAGTCTGATGTCTGGTTCTGGTTGCCTGCACCACCGTCCGGATCTCTCGCTCTTCCCTTCCCCACGTGGACCCTAGGCGTCCGCGTTCAGCCTGGCCTTGCCAGGTCTCCAGTAGCTTCTGCTGGTCTTAATTTCAGATTTTAGCCATGATTGAAAGTAACATAAAAAGATGAAAATGGCTCATTTGGTATTCCACAAACGATTAAGAGAACATACAGTGAGGGGCATTTTCAGTTTCCCGAAGTTCCACTTTCCAACTGCGTTTGTACAGTTCACACATTTTGAAAACTGGTTAGTGAGTACATACTCCGATGGACTAGCTTCTTTTCCATTTTGACGGATAAAAATTACAGGAGGTCCCTTTTAAGTACTTTTTAAGGAGCGAGATAATGAGAACATAACTAGAAAATTGACACTAATATGTTCGCAATCTGCTCTTAAGGTAGATCCTTTGAGTGTAGTGTGTATGATGATAGACAATGTGTGTGTTCCTGACTTTTCCTGGGTATCTAAAGCAAGGACATACAGCCTCAATTTACACAGAATGAGTGACACGTGGAGGCTTTGTCTTGCTGGTTGTGGGGCTGGGACAGTTACTTGTCCACCCATGTGTGTGCTCCCCCATCATAATGTGGGGTGGCTCTGGGAAACAAGTGCCTGACAGTGGTGTGTCATTTCTACACCAGAACATTTGAGAGGTGCTGTCTTTCCCCACTGTCCCATTGAGAGGACTTTGATGGCAGAGCCTGAGGAGGAAAGGATAGAAGACACAGAGTCATCACACCAGAAACTACCTTGCTCCACACCCACATTAAACACCTACCTGAGGGAGAAGTGACTTCTGCTGAATTAAGTAGTAGAAACTTGGGGACTGGCTATGCCACTATACCCTAATGTGTTCTAAAATATTTCTGATCTTTCCATGGTATATGCTAAAGAAGAAAGATGGGAATGAGTTTGTAAATTTAATTTATATCTTGGGACTAGTTTTAACTGGTTTTTATCTGCATTCTAGTCACTTAGGAGGTGAAAACTGGGTAGACACATCAAATATGATAATCCTGTATGTTCAAATTTTAACTCTTGACTACATAGCATAACACAATTTTCATGTCCTTTAAGAGTCAAACTGTAATTTTGCTTTTTCATTAAATGTTAAATGGATAAAAAGATGTGTTATCTTTGCTGTATCAAGTTCTCCTATTGCTATGAACATTTTAATGTAATAATGTAGTAGGTATAGCACATTTCTCTCAGGACCCTAGTTCTGCCATCTCCTCCTCTGTCCCCCCAGAGCAGGTGCAGAGTCCATCTCCACACAGAAGACCCCACGACTGGGCTGACCATGGAGGGGGGAGCTTGATGTCAGAATTATTAAGGCAAAATATATGTGGCTGCCTAAGGCAGAACAAGATTCCACCAGACTCAGCCCCCTGGGCAGCTTTCCAGATCCTTGAGTAGGTGGGCTGCAGCCAGGACCCACAGAGCTGCAGAGGGAACTCTGGTTTCTCGGTGGAGAGGACTTGCAGAAGGGATTTTGCTTGAAGTCTGAGGGAACTTGTCCAGGGCCTGGCTCGTGAGCTCCCAATGGCCCTGCCTCTTGTGAAGCCCTCCATAACCCTGTGACAAGGAAGCTCAGGTTAAAGAGTTCCCTTTTTATCTTGGGTGTGTTGTCAGGTGCTTTGGGAGAGCAAGGTTGGGAGCCAATAACTGGTCCAGCAGGACTGGCAAGCTAGGCCCAGGCCAGATCCAGCCACTGCCTGCTCCCCAGCCAGAAATAACACAAAAGAAGAACATTTTCAGAAGGCTCACATTAGAGATCAGGAGTGACCATTAGTATTTGTGCTCTACTCATGAGAAATGTAGGTGAACCTCTAGCAAGGTGGGGCTGCACAGTAGACCTTGCTGTAGGGAAGCACTCAAATCATATGTTTTGTTTTCAATTTATAAAGAAATTATGGAAGTTTCTTTTCTCTCTTGTTAATGAAGTGGCAACATGGGGACAGGCACAGTGCCTTATACCTGTAATCCCAAGTACTTGGGAGATGGCAATCAGGAAGATCATGGTTTGAGATCAGCCTGGGCAAAAAATTAGTAAGACCCCATCTCAACCAATAATCCCCATATGGTGGCATATAGCTGTAATCTAAGCTACACAGGAAGCATAGTTAGGACAATCACCTTCTGAGGCCAGCTATGGGCAAAAAAAAAAAAAAAAAAAGCAAAAAGGGTTAGTGGTGTGGCTTAAAGTCCCAAGTGCCACACAGATAACCACAAAAAAAAAAAAAAGTCTAAATTTCCTAAATATCCTAGATATCCACAATATCCTAAATTTCATCTTCTGGCTTGTGAAACCTAATAGGTGGTAATTGGCCCTTTACAGAAAACAGCAGCAAGCACTGACTACCTGCTGAGGACACCATTCTGTGACATCCTCTCCTGGGGTGACCCCCAGTCCATGCCTGAAATGGGATTTCAGCAGCTGCCTTGGGTTTCCTGTTGCCTTGGAGAATTCCCCTTCCTCCTGGGCTGAGCTTCCTCTTAGTTGCACACTAAACGTCACCTGGGAAGGACAAACCCACCTCTGGCTTAAGGGACTGGGGGAACACTTTGTTATTGTTAATAGCACAGGGCCATCCTGTCCTGAGTCCTCTTCTTCTTGACCTGAATCTCAGATGCTCCTTCCCAGTTCCACAGCTTGAGGCACCATTTGTATTCAACACCTCCCTCAATTCTACTTATTTTTAACCTCCCCCTAAATTGTGCTTCTATGTCAACCTTTGCGTCTCCAACATAACTATTCAGAACTGACTCCCTCGTCTGAGGATCATCTGCAACCAGCCTTCGTCTCAGCTAGATTTCATGAGAGCTCATCTCCAAACCCAACTGTAGCTTTTCTCCTGACTTCAGAATACATTCATGTTCTGATCACATCTTCCTCCCCTGCTGCCAACCTGTCCCAGGGCCTATGACTGATTTCTCACTGGGACTCCTGCTTGCCTGTTCTCAATACCAAATCCCTATGACCATTTCTACAAAGACAAGCTCCATCTAAGTAATAGCTCAGAAAATATGATTCCATTGCTTGATCTCTCAAAGTTTCCATCATGTAAGGTACTGAGCTTGCACCACAGCCTGTATCACTACCATGTGTGTAATGCTGTAGAACCATGTTGAATGCAGAGTAGTACTGGATTTTCAGTCACATGGACCAGGAAAATACTGTTAAAGCCAATTTAGACCAGACATTCTGACATGTGCAAGTAAATCAGGAAGAAAAACTGTGTCCACACGAATACTGTGTACTTTGACCTCCTGAGTTGTTTTAGACCAGGATGCACATTCCACAGCCAAGTGTCAGCTCTGCAAACACCTAGCCCAGAGGGAAGGTCATGGGCAGGATAACAACTGGGCATAAGTGCTCCTAGTGGGTTCTTCCCTGTGAGTGGACTGCAGACAAGCCTAGTTACAATGAGAACTCATCAGCATGTCAGATGGACTACAGAAAATATCAAGAATTGTTTGAAACTTCCTACAAAATTGTACTGCCTGGTCACAGCTGAATGCAGTGAATTTCTCTGTCAGAACCAGAAATAAAATTTTTAGCTATAGGTCTCACTTCCTGTCCTCAGCTTCAAATCTGGCTTTTGCTGTGCTGTTCTGTAAGGAAAACAGAGCATGATTTGACCCGAGGGGGGTGCCATCCTATTCCATGACCCTGAGTGACCACAATGCCTCCTGAACTTCACATCTGAATACTCAGAGAGGTCTTAAGTCTCCAAATTCCAAAGCCAAGCAAGCTATTGTTTTGTTTAGGTTTTTTTTTTCCTGAGAAGGGTGGCTGCCAAACCATAAGCTAAGAAGGTATTAGATGTAAAGTGTGCTTTTACAAGCAATTAAAATATTTGAAATTTTCCATACTTTAAAAAATTCCATACATTTAAAAATTAAGAAGAGTTTATAAAATACTGGAAATAAAATTTTGACTTTGGAAACCACAAAAGCTTAAATGAGCTTAAGACCCAGAAATAATTTTACATATTACCATAACAGGAGTAAGGCCTCTGGAGGTAAACAGTAATATTTGCACTCTATTCTGAATAAATAACCACTGGGGTGAGAAAGCTGACCACTGTTTCCAATCTAGACCTCCACCAAGGGCCAGGAGCAAAAGCCTGGACACCAAAGAACCCCTTCTTCCACTTTCAACCACACTCTGGGAACCCAAGCTTTGCTTCTGTCAGCAAGCATATTACTTTCCTCAAAAGATACTAAATTATGAAAGGGGAACCTCTAGAAAAAGTAAGCTTAGAAATGGTTTTCCAAATTTCTGTTAATTATATATTAATTATTAAAATTTATAATTGGCACACTGGCTGGAAATGGAGGTTAACTTCCTAAACTGATAAAACTGCATCAAAAAATCAAAGAAACTAGAACAGCAGCTAAGGATGGACAGTATAAAGAACAAGTTGACTAAATCTTAAAAGCAACTTTAATCTCTCAAGAGGCTTTGAAAGGCTGTTTTCTCAATGTACAACTTTGAACACTGCTGCCCGACAACTACAACTTTCTATGACTAATGCTGTCTTTCTGGAGCCTTGTTTAACTACTTCCTTTGTCTTAAGGAGACAAAGTTTGTCAGTTCTAGAAAGCAGAGCTTTTATCCCTGTCAGATTAATTTCCCTGAGCCAAACTTCCAATCAAACTGACCGTGTGAATGCCAAATCTTACTGTGGCTTGTACCTCTTTCTCCTCCCCCTAACCCCAGGCTGTGGATGAAGGACAAAGAACTGAGAGCTTGATTCACACCTGCTTCATCTTCTCCACAGAGATCTCAGGAAGATGTTAGCTTAAATCACACAGGCCACTCTAGGCTGATCATAAAAAAATGGACTCTTCCCAGAAAAAATAATCAAGAAAAAAAATAGACCAGTGTGGTGGTGAGATGAAGTTAGGAGATAAAAAATGGCCAAGCAAAACAGGAGCAGAGGGAACTTGATGGAAGCTTAGCAAAGACACAGAGTTGAGATAAACAGGTGTGGGGAATGGGAAATCTTGAAATCACTCACTCAGGCCTTGAAACTGCTAAAGGCATGTGAACTAGGCCCTGATAGGATGTCCAGCCAGTGTGCCAAACCTCAGGGCCATTGGGAAGGAAAAGGGGGTCATACACAGTGCCCCTGTGATGTCCATGGACTGGCACAGATGTGTATCTCTGAATGGACCAATAGCACAGAGACACAACCAGCTTCCCTTCAACCAGGAAATAATATCCTTATAAAAACTTCTAGACAAACAGCCTCAAGGGCTCAGCCTTTCTGAGACCCCTCCCATTTATATGGAAGCTTTTCTACTCCTACCCTTTCTACTTAAGTAAAACTGCTTTTTGCTCATCCTGTTGTCAGTGACTTTCATTCTTAGATCACATGAAACACAGTTCCTGGCAACAACTACAACATATCTAAAAACAGACCACTGCAACAGTGGCTCACACCTACAACAAGCTACTGCAGAGGTGGAGATCAGGAGAACTGAGGTTCCAGCCAATCCCCACACCACCCCACCCCCTAAAAATGTTAGCAAGACTTCATCTCAACTGACAAGGTGTGGTGACATTCACCTCTGATCTCAGCTACACAGAAGCTATAGGTAGGAGGAGGCAGCTGGCCCCAAGTAAAAACTGGACACACTATCAGAAAATAACTAAAGCAAAAAAGGACTGGGTAGAGCACCCGTCTAGCAAGCACAGGTCTTAAATGGCAAAGAATTAAGCCTTATGACACCATTTACAAATAAACTAATCAGAACAAGAACTTGTAACTATCCAGTAGTCACATGGTACAGTATTTCTCTTTCACTAGTACCAACTTACTTTTACTTTGAAATACCAAATCCTCATTTCAAAAGAAGTCTCCTGAGAGTAAAGATTTCCTAAACACAATAAAAGTACCAAATCATCTTTAGGAGCAGAGTTAAAAGGACTTTTTAATCTTACAAAAGATGAGGAGTAGTATTGACTCATTTTACAGAAATGATTAAATTGAACCCTAATGAACAAATAGTCAGTTCTCCTTAAAGACAATAAACAGGATGGAAGTTACCACTTAAACTGTTTTAACCTCCAACGTAGCAATTTGCAGACAACTAGAAGCTGCTCAGGTATTTCAATAATAGACCAGAGCCTTGGATTAAACAGCAGTTTACACCAGAGACCTGTTATTCTCTGAACTGGGTTTGCAGATTTCTGACTAACTCATCATTAGTCCAAACATTTCCTCACATCTCAATGAAACACCTAGGTGAACAAGAATGCAGGACACGCACATTCTCTGGTCAGAAGAGAAACAGGCCTCTCTCCCAGGGCAGAGATTCTCACCCATTTGCTCCTTGCAGGTATAGGTAGAACCTTTGTGTCATTCTTTCCAGATTAGCCTTAGCAGGGCAGTGGTGACACTGGATATTTATTGAAATGAAGTGAAAATGGCACGTTTTCAGCCAGCGGGAAACCCCATCTCAGAGCAGTTCACACTTTAGAAAAGAAATGCCCTGATAGCACCAAGATCCCCCAGTGCTCCTTGCTCAGCGCCACCCATCTTGAGGCCAGGTGGGCCCTCCTTAGGGGACCACGCCTGGACCTTGCCAGCTTGGTTCAGGTTCAAAGGCCTGCTCCTCTCCTTACATTTCAGGCTCTCAGGACGCCATTTATCAAAACAATTTGAAACCGGAAGGTATCAAAATATTAAATGAAAGCTAGCAGTTAGAATTCGAAACGCAGAAGGTGTATTTCTGTGAGTCGAAACGACTGCGGTTAAACTCCAATTGGAACCTGTGACCCATTCAACCGGAAAGCGCTAATCTTAAATTCTGACAGTTTGCGAAAGGACCCACTGCGAATTTGGTTGGGCGACAGGAAGATACCGGCGACGCCTTCTTAAAAGTAGGGTTACTACGACAAGCACTCGTCCCGGTCCCGATTCCAGGTGGGCCCACCCGCGCGCCAACACCTTACTCACTTGTGTCCCCAGCCGCTCGGCTCCGCGCCCCGCAGCTCTGCACACCTGCCCTGCCCAGGAAAGGGAAGGCGCCCTCCGCTCGCCCCGCCTCCGGGCGGGGACGCGCCCCGGCGGGCAGCGCACCTGACCCGGGTAAGGGAGCCGGCGTCCCCGAGCCTTTGCCCAATACAAAGCACCCGCCCTATACATTGTCCCAGGGCAAAACGCAAGTGCGCCTCACCTACTCATTCCCTTGGAGCCTTCTAAAATCCCATCGCTTTAAATAGGGAAATCCCACCCGACGGAGCAGATAGCTGCTAGAAGCGGCTCTGAGCGCAGCCTGGGGCTGGAGTCGGGCTGGACCGCCCGCCCCTTAGGGTTCCTGCACTTGAGCCGAGGATCCCCGAGGGTCGGCGAACCCCCACTCCCTCGGCGCCTAGCCCGCCCCGCACAGGCGGGGGGACCACGGCCGCACCCGGCCGTTGCCCAGGTGAGCAGCACCGCGGCCGGCCTGACCAGACCAACCTCTGTCACGCCCCGAAAGGTTTCACAACCCACCCACGTGGCCCCGCCCCTCCGCCCCAGAAGGCCCCGCCCCTTGGTCCCCGCCACGCCCTCCAAGCGACTGGCGGCCCCGCCTCCGGACCGGCCCAGCGCAGGGTGGCTGATTGCGCAGGCGCGGGTGTGGGTATTGCAGTGCACATGCGCAAACTGAGGACGCGCAGACGCAGTCTTTGGGCGCCAGTATTCGCAGGGAAGATGGCGGATCACAGTCCTAAGTCCGTGCTATTCGTGTGTTTAGGTAAGGGCGCACTAACTTAACACCCTTTTTCTTGGAGCGTTGAGTGCCTCTTGTATGCTCTGGCTGGTCAATCAACCTTGGGAGACGATGCGACGGGCTTGAGTGGGGCGGGCGCCGGGTACCTTACCTTCCTGTCTCCCCCAAGTCTGTGTCCCGGTTCCCCTGCCCTGTTTCCTTCAAGCCTGTGACCTCACTCACCTGCCTGCCACCCCCCATGTCAGACGACCTGGCATCATCCTCCAAGCTGGTCCTTTTCATTACACTTACTACAGTCTCTCGTTCCCCTTTTTGTGTCCAGGAGGGCCTGAGGCCGCAGAAGCGATGTTTTCTGTTAGGGATCTCCGAACCAGTAACTGCAACGGTTGACTTGCTGGTGTCCTCGGGCTGCAGTTACTGGGGATCTCAACTAAAGGGTGGTGGAGGTTTTTCTGTTATCTTGGTCTCCAGTGTCGTAGTGTCTTTGCATAACAACTGATATTTTTTTCAATTTAAATACTTTCCAACTCAGAATTGTTTTCATTCTTAGAATGTCATCACTGAGGCCCCCTTACTCAGAATGGAATTCACTTTTTAGTGTTAGGTCTTCTGCCGAGCATGCATTTCCTACAAAGTAAAGCTGATCCTCTTGAGGATGGAAGCTTGCCAGACCTTTCTTCCCCACTTCCCTTACCTTGTTCCACTCACACATGGGCACTGCCTTCCAGAACTCCTTGCTGACCTCAGTATATGCTTACTGTTCCTGGTGTTGTCAGGTGCTTCTGGATGCCATACTGCATTTTGCCTGGAAAGCTTTGTGTTTTGTGAGATCAAAACCAAATCTTCCCCTATTTGCATCCCCAGACCATTAGTTGCTTCCTTTGACTCCTTATAGAGATGTTTTATTCCTCAAATTTCATTATAATTATTTGGTAGCCAGTTGAGGTCCCAGTGAGCTTTAACTTTCTTGTGAGTAATAACTGGCTTGTTTTTGTTTGTTTTTCCAGCTTTGGGGCAGTACTTGATACTCACTAGCTATTTGTAGTACTTAATTCCTGTGAGGGGAAACTGTAAAAAACTCACTCTGTTTTGCATTGATAGTGGGCATCACTTGACTTTTAAGGTGTTTATTAAAGACTGGTGGAATCAACAAATACATTAAATAGTGATTTGTTTCCAGTTAGGTATCTAATACTTGTTTATTTTTGCTTAATATTGTTGACTCTACAGCCATTTTGCACCATGGTGGCTATTAATAGGAAGGTGTATGCTTGCATACTTACATATATTTTTCTTCAGTGCAGTAGGTTTTTTTTCTCCACTATATGCCAGACGTTGTGGATGATAGTATAGTGGACACCAGAGATAAACCCTAACCTTTCTGAAGCTAGTGCTGTCTCTCAGTCATCAATTGTCAGTTAAGCAGTGCCAGTGAGCTCATTCATTTGGTGTGAAGTGTTAAGAAAAAGCAGGAATGGGGTGGGAATGGAGTGCAGTTCATGGTTAGGAAGCCCTCACCTGAAGGTGACCTATGACTGGAGACTTGAAAGGAATCAGGTGTCATGCCCATCCTGGCTCAGAAGGCAGCTGGTGTGGATTTTATGTGGGTAATCTCCATAGTCCAAACAGGCTGGGCCTGGGAACCCAGTGACCTTTCTCAGCCAGGAGTCCTTCATGCTGAGGACGCTGCAGATAATTTAGTGACTTTTCTCTGCCCTCCATGATATCTGACTAGTATCATTCTAGCTGCATGGGGAGAAGTTAGGGCCTTACAGTGGATGCTTTGGGGCAGGGGTCTGCATACTCTATAAAGAGCCAGAGTGAATAATTTGGCTTTGTGGGGAACTGTTTGTGTAGCACCAGACAACTCATAAGTGATCAAGCTTGGCTGTGAACTTTGTTCATAGACACCAATATTGGGACAATATATAATTTATCTCAAGAGTTTCCATATTTGTGTTTTTTCACCTATTTAAAACTTTAAAAATTATTAGCTGTCTGTGCTGTACACAAAGTGGTAAGCCCCAAGCTGTAGTTTTGGACCCCTGTTTGAGGTGCAGACCTTGGGAGGCCATGTGAGGACATGGGCTTGCACTGAGTGAGATAATCCATTGGAGGTTTGTAGCAGAGGTGGGGAAGGATGTAATTTGTTCCAGCTGCAGTGTTGAGATTAGTCTGATGGAGGGGCTGGGACTGATCAGGTTGCCCTTGCTGATCAGATGGTTGCTGATCAGCTGTTGAGTGTCTGGTCCAGAGTGCATTTTATGTGGTAGCTCCCATGGGGTAGGGGACAGTAGGAGCTATATGTTTGAAATGTCAAAGTTTTATTCCTTGGAGCCTTAGTTGGACTCTTTTGAGACTGAATTGTAGGAAAGCATCAGAGGTTAGTCAGTAGGAATACTTACTGAGAAGAGCTTCTTATTTCAGGAAGATTGTGAGGAAAGCTTTTTATTCTGTAAACCAGAGTCCGCTTGGGGAAGGCAGCTTTGACCCAAGCCCCAGCCAGTGTAACTGGTAATAGAACCCACGTTGCAGGTTCAGAACTTGTTCTGAAGGTGAAACCTAAGACTCTGTGCTTTACTAACAGCCAGTATGTTCCATTTCTATTTTTGAAATATTTATTTATTTATTTTGGTGGAGCAGGGGATCAAACCACATGCAAGGCAAAGTTCTTCCCACTGAGCTATACCCTCAGTCCCTATAGCTTTTAATAACATTAATATGATGGTGTTGACTTTTGAAATCTAGATTTCCCTTCTTTTTATCTTACTAGTAGACAATCTTTGTGGTAGTGGAGTTTTTTGTTTTATATCCATTCTGTTACATAACTTCTTGCTTTAAATACAGCTGTCTGGGGGCAAAGTACAAGTATATATGCCATTAAGTCATTAAATAGTCTTCTAAGTTTTCGTATTGTGGGGAAAGTAAGCTGTTATATTGCAGTTAATGAAAGTTATTGATAAAGAGATGGCGTGAGTCTTTTTCTTTTTAGTTGGTGGTACTGGGGTTTGAACTTGGGGCCTGGTGCTTGCTACAGGCACTCTACCCTTAAACCACACCCCCTTTTGCTTTTGCTATTTTTTATGTAGAGTCTTCTGGTTTTTTGCCCAGACTGTCCTGGACCGTAATCCTCTCACTTACACCAGCATAGCTGGGATGACAGGCACAAGCTACCACATCCAGCATTTTTGTTCACTCAGCATTTTTGTCTTGCTAACTTTTTGTCCTAGCTGGCCTCTAACCAAGATCCTCCCGATGTCTCCCAAGTAACTGGGATTACAGTTGTGAATCACAGCACTCTTCCTGGAACTGAGATCTTAGGCATCTATTATTATTTCTATAGCTGTAAAATAGTAACACACTTTCCTAGTTCGGCATACAATGTTGGCTGTTAAAAGTTGTAAGTAAAGTGATCATACACCCTCAGGAAGACTTTCAGTGATGAGATATTGCTGGTGATGGTACTTGCTGAAAAATCAAACAAAAAGTAGAATGTGGGAAGCAAAACCTTTACAACATGAGCCAGCATATGGAGGGCATTCATGGTTAATTCTTAACTTTGATAGTTTAAAGATGAGACTGTTTACAACCGTGGAAAACCACAGTGTTTATGGGGAAAGCTGAGGGATGTGGCAGTAAAGGCAGCAGGGCACTGGTGTGTTTCTACCATGTATCTTGCCCTCTGAAGCAGAGTAGAATTCCTCTGAGGTAGTTCATAAAAACTAGACTTCTTCCCCAAAAAAGCCTTAAACCTCGGAAGATTATTTTTCTTTGTCCCTTGAAAACCTTTAGTCTAGAGGTGTCCTGCCCCATATCTGGGAAGAAAGAGTGTGCTCCATAGAGAGGTCAGGAATGATCTGCACTTAAAGGCCTTGCTGGGTTCAACTCCATCTGTTACCATCAGATAATAGCCATTTGTCCAGTAACAGTTCTGCACAGGTATAAATTCTTCATTGAACCGTAGCATAAAACTGAGACAGGACAGCCTTTGGGTCTCTAATCTGAAGGTTCCTATGGTGCATAAACCTTTGTTTAAATCTATTTTGCTTTTCTTTTGTTAACCTGTTGTGTTAGAGGAATGTGGGCTGACCTCGGGTGGCTAAGGAAAGGGGTCATGCTTTCCCATCTTATGCTATCATATTCACCTTGTAGAGGGTCTCTCTGCTTTCAGTCCTGTGCTCTTTTAATGTTTCCTTAAGCCTGCCAGTTATTTTCCTAACTTGTAGCAAGGGTCTGTGTTGTGAACAGCTTTCTGTCTGCATGCCCTAATAGAGTTCTTGGCTCAGAAGTGGTAGGCACATGAACTATGCTTGTTGAATACATCACATTGCCCTTTTCCCCAGAACCTTCAGGTTCTTCTCACTGTGCACTGAGTCCAGACCTTGGCATGGTGTTAGGGCCCCCATGTCCTGGGCCACTTGGCTTACATTCGCTACCATCTGCACCTGGACCAGAATAGCTGTACCCCCTAGGTCGGCCATCCCTGACTCCAGGGCCTCCCACCATTAGACCCCCTCATCTCGTAAGCGTCAGCTCAGTCTCCTTTCTCTCTGGTAAGAAGTTTTCTTATGTATTGTTTGTCTTTGTAGAATCTTTGATTTTCTATGTTCGCATAAGATAGTGCTTGTTTGTCTGCATTTACTTTTTTATTATTATTATATAAACTGTGTCTCCCCTTCATACATCACTGGCACACAGCAGATCTATTTGCAAAGATCAAATGCCTTTTGTCTTTTTCCCTGTGCAGTAAGGAACTTGGCCCTCATCCTGGCTCCTGGGAAGTCACCTCTGATTTCCTTAGGATTTCTAGGAGTAATGGTATGTCTGTTATTCATGGTGGCCCCATAGTTTATGTTAATGAGAAACTCCAGACAGGACTTGGAGCCCTCTGAGCCCAATACAGCAGAAGAGGGGCTCTGAGATTAATTCAGCTGCATGGCCAGAGATTCAGTACATTGCCCCCAGTACAAGAGCTTGGTTGAGTTTGCTGGGTAGCAGTAGATTCCTGGAGTGCTGTCACTTACCAGTAACAGAAGGGCCAGGTGTCCCCAAGGACAAGGAAGCTTCCTGTTTGGAACCTTCTCTTCCTCTGACTACTTCCAATCTGTATTTTGCAGTAAAACTATACCACAAGTATTGCACTTTCCTGAGTTCTCTGAGTCATTCTAGAGAATCATCAAATCTGGAGGAGTGTATGGAAACCCTGGATTTGTAGTCATCTGATCTGGAGTGAGGATGGACCTGGGGATCCTGACCTGGCTTCTGGTGGCAGAAGTCAAGGGCAGATGGGGCAGTCAAGAGGGCCTCACTCTGAACCTCAGCTGGCTAACTTGTGTGGCCATATTCCTCTTAGCACATGATTACTCAGGAAAATTTGTGTTGAATCATTATGTTAAACATTTTGTTTATTTGCATATTGTTTTGTGAAATAACTCATTATGTATAATATAGTTGATCAGTTCTGTTGTATTTCATTGTAAACTAAGCTGGCTGCAACTTACTTCATTGATTTCATGACTCACTTCTGGGTCATTAGTAGCAACCTGTGAGAGGGTGATTTTGGTTAAAGTTGCTTTCTTAATGTCTTTGTACCTGGGCATTTGGTGTCACATCACTGAACTTGGTTTGATCAGTTGCTCTCTGCCAGGTCTACTCTGCACTGCAGTGTTGACGTTTGCTTCTCCACAGGGAGGATACAGCTACTGTGTGCAAGATGGTCCATTGACTCTTCTGCTAGAAGTTAGCATCCACCTTTTTACCACAGCTGACACTCTGTATTTCCTCTTCCTTCCTTTTAAGGTAACATTTGCCGGTCACCCATTGCAGAAGCAGTTTTCAGAAAACTTGTAGCTGACCAAAACATTTCAGATAATGTAAGTATCATCCATACCTTAAACAGACCAGCCTGAGCACCTTTGGGCAGGAAAGTGGCGGAACATTTTTTTTCTCTCCTGCAGTGGAGGATAGACAGTGCGGCCACATCCACATATGAAGTGGGAAACCCCCCTGACTATCGAGGGCAGAGCTGCATGAGGAAGCACGGCATCCCCATGACTCACATTGCCCGGCAGGTACCGTACTGGAACTTGACCTGTGTTTTGTGTTACAGTGGGCTATTGACAGCGGTGCTGTTTCCGACTGGAACGTGGGCCGGGCCCCAGACCCAAGAGCTGTGAGCTGCCTAGGAAATCACGGCATTAGCACAGCCCATAAGGCAAGACAGGTAGAGGAGATCTTGTTTAATTTCTCCTACATAGAGTCCTGTAACTTGAGAAGTTGTGAGAGGCTGACCAAGCCTGTGTGTGAATGATAGGTTTATTTGGGGTAAATAAAATTAACATGCTGCATGTGCAATTCTAAAAGACTTGCATGGCCTTGGGATTACTTACTAAAATACAGAAAAAGATTATAAAAATCACATGAAAGAACCCTAGTTGCAAGCTAGACTTGAGCTGTAGTCTCCATTCTCTTGGTACCTGAATAGTTTTTGGTTACACATTTAGGCTATAGTAACTGTTCTGCTTATATTACGAGTTTGGTGCTAGAACAGAGTCATACAGCATGTTCAAAAACTGCTTTTCAACTGTGAGCACCTTAGAAATATAGGGGAATATTGGTACAATTATGCACATATAATTGGAGTGTGTCATACCAGACTACTTGTGAGGTCTACTGAAGTAACAACAAACACTTCAATTTCAAATGAAGATAGGTTTGTATTTGTAGTATAAACCAGAAGATGCAGTTGTGTTTCTAAGATTTCTTTATTTAAATATTAAAGGGTTGACCCTTTCTTAATATTTGTTATTCTGAGTATCTTCAGGTATGTACCTAGTCTGGCTCTGTTTTGTTACTGCCTGAGGGTATAGATTTCTTTTGAACAGTCAATCAGAATTAGGAGCCATCTGATTTTAAGGTCTGATTAGTTTTCATACCCTTAGTGCATGATAGCAGTGGATGCAAGTGGAGTGTTTTAAATACATACACCTTGAAAAGCAAACTTTCAAGAGCAGTTTTCATTACCAGCTTTGGAAGTGGTATTTCTACAGAATTTGTTTCTTGCTGCTTTTCCCTGTTGCTTTTAAGAAAAAAATTGTTACCAGTATTTTTCTTTTTTTAATTCAAAGTACTGGTAAAGTATGTTGTAAGTTAGTATCACATTAGCTCTTATGTTTGCAAGTTCTTTTTCTTTATGATTATCATAGTTAGTGTGATAACTTTTCTAGTACATTTCTTTAGTTTTCCTAGTACTTTGAAACTAGGTTTAGTGAATGGTATAGTCTTGGGGTGCTGTTTCCTTTCAGCTTATTCAGTCAGTCTCTTGGGATGTGCGCTTAGCGGGATGGAGGTTCTCCTCTGTTGGATGTACTTTGCGATCGTCAGTAAAGTCTTCATTGATGTGTGCACAGATCATTACTGCACTCATCATTACACATTGATGAACATTGATGAATGCAGCCCTGTTGCCCCTCAGCAGCCGCTTCCCACTCTTGCTGAAGTCACCCAAAAGTACTTTCTTCCTTTAGCCCTGGAATGGGATCTTAATATATGTGCACTCTCTGTCAGCGGTTCTCATTTGCGATTTTCCATGTCTTATCTTACCGTAGCACTTCCCCCTTGTCACAGTTTACTTGCCTGTCCTACTCTTGGTGGCACCCTGTTTCTAGTTCAGGGTTTCTGCAAATAGTGGTGCAGTGGAGGTTGCTAAGTACTCATGTGTGGTTCTGGTGGGCTTATACCCAACATCGTACACTGCAGTCAGGGTTGCACAGTCTCATAAAACGACGTACTGGGGATGCTCTGTTTTCTATTCTTTAAACAGGTTTATAGAAGGTTGATAGTATTTCTACTTTAATATTTTGGGTCAGTTGTTTTTGTTGGTACTTTGAAATTATTGCCACTTTCACTAGCTGCCTGTAGCTTTTTGTTTTAGGGTTTTTTGGTCTTTAGTTTCAGCAGCTTTGCTGTAGGAGGCCAAAGTATGATTGGCTTGATGTTTTTCATCAATTTTGGAAAATTTTAAGCCGTTATCTTTCCATATTTTATTTCTTCCTGCTTTCTTCTGAGTGCCAGCTTGTATGTATACTGAACATAAATTTCTTGGATTCTTTCCTTTACTTTTTATCCTTTTTACTCTGTTCTTCAGTCTGAGATATTGTGCTGATCTCTTTTCTGATATACTAACCCTTTTGCTTTTTCCAGAGTTCATGAAATTATACTGAGATTGACTGACTGCTTCAAGTTTCTCTTGAATGTTTTTTTTTTTTTTTTTGGTAGATTTATCTTCCTAATGAGATTCATCATCTTACTTGATGTTCTGAACATACCATCACTGTTACTTCAAACAAAGTCTGGTAACTGGTGTCTGGGTCACTCTGGAATCTGTTTTCTCTCTTGTTTGAATAATACTAATACATGGTGTGTGAATAATTATGGGGCTTTGGATGATCTGGTTTTGCTCCCCAAAGGCTTTCTTGTTGACTGAGAGTCAGGGTGGTCAGCTCAGTGTGACTAGTGGACCTTGTGCAGGGCTTGTGCAGCTTCCATGTGCCCAACTCCTTCTGCTGAGCCTGAGGTGTGGCATGGACAGGACACCTCATGCTCTGGCAGCTCTTGGTATAGAGTGTTGGACTTTTCCTCACTGAGGCCATGCAGCCTCTACTTGACCTCTTGACCTTCCCCTGGTTAGGTAGAGAACTTGGTGAAGGCTGAAAGGCTAAAGCATGTGCTGGACTCCCTCCTTCCAGAAGTCTGGGCTCTTCCAGGGCTGGTTGTCATGAAAACCCTAGTTACCTCTTTACCTCTTGACTGCTGACAGGTTAGTTGGTGCACTGCTCTTTTGCCCAGATCTCCCGCCTCTCCAGCACGCTTTTCATTCTGGCACTGTTGACATTTGGGTCTTGATTGTTCTTCATGCAGAGCTGAGCTGTGCCTTGCAGAAAGTCTGCAGCACCTCATCCAGTGCCAGAGCCCCCATTATGACAATGAGAATGTCTGCTGGCATTGCTTATGGTCTGTCCTTTGAGAATCCCTATCCCACAATATAAAATGCAGTTCTTAAAATGTGATCCAGGGTCCCCTGTGCTCTGGGGCATAAGCCAAAGATCTATTCAGAGGAAGAGACTGACTAAGTGGGCCTGTGTGAGACAGAAAATACCGTCACTGGAAAGATCATTGATTGGGCTTCCAGTCCTGCATTGCAGCTAACCTCTAAAAAACCATTGCTCCCTAGTTGTGATGTTACAATCACAGTGACCACTAGGGCTACTAAAGTATTTCTCATACAAAACTCATGTTTGTGTGAGGCAGATTTACTTTTCTACACTATCTCACACAGCATAGTGCAACAGAACGCAGAGCTGAAACAACTCTGAAAATCCATCTGAAACAGTGGCACTCTGCTGACCAAGTTCTGGAATTGAAAAGTGTAGTTGTTTTTCACTAAAATAATAAAATTGGAAATATTACAGATGTGAATTTGTATTTTTTTAATTATTAAGTGTTTGAACTTTTTTTCACCTTTGGCAATGATTATAAATACTAGCAGATGCAACCCCTATAAATACATTGTTTGGAGGGAGGGCCTGAAAAAATTTTGAAAGTTAAGGGGCGGTTGGGCTATAAAGTTGAGATCCCTGCTGTAGGGTCCAATCAGTGCCTGCTGGGGTCAACTTGTGAGGTCTGCACTGTCCTGTGCCCTGGGCTGATGGAACTCAGCTACTGATCTGCTGTCTGTGTCCATGTTCTGCCACAGATGTAGAGCTGAATCCTTAGGGAGAGACATTGTGACTTATAGAACCAGGTTACTGCAGGAACACACTCATGGGTTTGAAGGTGTGTTTTGATTTTTGTGTTGAGTTTTCTAATTATCTTTGGTAGTGGCGTTGATTTGCCACACATCATTTCCTGTAAGCTATAGCTGCTCCTCTTCTTAATTATTTTAACATCTAAAAATAATGCATGGTTTCACTTAGTAAATTACTAAACATTTATTTATTTATTTACTTATTTAGTACTGTGGTTTGAACTCAGAGCTTTGCACTTGCCAGGCAGGTGCTCTACGACTTGAGCCACGTCTCCGGCTCTAAGCATTTTTTTTTAAGAAAAACTTAATTATAATCAGTCCAAAATTATCAATGTTTAATATTAAAACCTAGGGCACTTCTCACATCAACTAATTTGGAAAAATAGTATAATATACAATAATATATACAGTCCTTTGTAATAATTTAAATGAATGGCACACTTAAAATTAATGGAAATGCATACTAAAAGCTACAATTTCTCATTTTTAACATAGTAATGAGCATATTTATTCTTTTGCTACTTGAGTGCTTTATTGCTTGAACCACACTCCCAGTGCTTTTGCTTTTAATTTTTCAGATAAGGTCTTAGCTTTTGCCCAGGCTAGCTTTTGCCCAGGCCAGACTGTAAACCTAACTCTGCTTCCACATCTGACCACCGCATCTGACTTACAGTATTTTAGAGGTTTTTTGTTGTTGTTGTTATTGAGAAAGATTATTATTGAAGTTATATTTTTACAAGTTATTTCCACTTTTGCTGCAAAGCATGTTTTTTGTTACAGGGTTTTGAACTCAGGACCTTTTGCTTGCTAGGCAGGTGCTCTACCACTTAAGCCACACATCCAACCCTTTTGATTTGTTGGTTTTTTTCCTTATTCCTTTATTTATAATAGTGAAAATCTGCAAGACAATTTTATTTTAAATAGGCTTACATGTATAAGTTATGATGTCAGAAAATAGTAAATTTCCAGGTTAGAATCAGGTAAAGCCCTGGAAGGAACCCTCCGTGTCACCCTAAGTGTGAGTGTTTGGTCAGAATAAAGAAGAGCCAAGGATAGGTTCCTAACCACCCTCTGACCACCTTCTTAGAATTTGCCTTTCTCCCTCTCCCCAAACCCTGGATCTCCTCTCTGCTTATTTTTGCTCAGAGGCATTTGTCCTCCTGTGTGGATAAGTAACTCCACAGGACAGTGGTTTGTCACTTCAGCTGGTATGTGTCACCGGGGCCTTAGACATTCAGTGCTTGAAGAATGAAAAATAGAATAATGGAGGGGATTAAATACAGAGCATTTCGGAATTATACTTTACCAAGGGACTGAAGCATTGTGTCCACATCTTATACTGTTCATGATTATCCCAAGGAACCTTGTGATAAAAAAATTTCTTTGCAAAATACATTAACTTTTAAAGATGCCCAATTAATTACATTGTTTATTAATGAGTAATAGATTCAAACAGTGTTTTTTTAGTTACTATTTTTGATCATCTAGGCTTGAGTGGCATAAATAGAAAACACAGTGTTTTGACTGTTTACTCAATTTTAGGTTACCAAAGAAGACTTCACCACATTCGATTATATATTGTGTATGGATGAAAGCAATCTGAGGTACTTTTATTAAATTTATTTATTTTTAATTTGTTTATTTTTTGGTGGTATTAGGGTTTAAACTTGGTCTCATGCTTGCTAGGCAGGCACTAGAGCCAATCCACCAGCCATATTTTATATTTTAGAGTATTTCTACTCCCAATTTAGTAGTAGGCAAAGAAGTCCAAAATGACCTTTTTATTACCTTAGTAGTTTTAATACACGGTGATGGTTCTAATGTTCAGAATTATCTATTCAGAATAGCGGGGAAATTGAGAGAAAGAGTGTCTCATAGTTCTGTTTGTAAAGGGTGCACCTTTCAGAAGCGAAAGTCTGGTTGGCATGATGGAGCTTGAGATCAGCTGGGTTGTAATCTGTACTTGTAAAAGGAGACACATTGATTTTCACAAAAGCAGTTTTGTTACCACTATGATGGTTCATGGACTAAGAGATATTGTGTTGTTTCCTACCTTATTCCCACCTTAATACTGCCCCCCGATAAGTCTGAAAGATAGAATTTTGATAACTAAAACTGATGGGCTAGAGTATTGGCTAGCAGTGACTGGCTGCACAATACTTACGTGCTTTGCAGACCCCAGCATTTCATCAGTAGATCAATTTTATTATCAAAGAAGTGAGCTGAAGTTACTACCTCAAGCTCACAGAGTAGGTGGCTGGGTGTGAAAGGGCTTAAGCCACTGTTGCCACTGCCACGTCTTCCATGCCCATCACTGCACTCGCTGCCCCATCCTCACATACCCTGTGGTTTATGTGACGTTTTTTAGTTATTTCTATCACCTTTGTTTATCTCTGAAGCAGTATCTTAAAACATGTTTCACAAAAGAAAACGTAATTATTATCTGTCTTAAAGATTCTTCCTTGTGCAGCAGAATCGATGGGAAGGTGCTATTGCCGTACCCTACTGACAGACAGATCTCCAATTCACAGCCGCGTGGGGGTCCTGTGGCTCTGCAGAGGGTTCTGTTTCATTTTAAATCAGGTTGCTTTGGCTGGACTTTGATATGGACATTTCATAAACCCCTAGCAGATGTCCCTGTTTAATTTGAAACCATAGAGCAGAAAACCAAGTTCATGTTTCAATTTTACAGAGATTTGAATAGAAAAAGTAATCAAGTTAAAAACTGCAAAGCTAAAATTGAACTGCTCGGGAGCTATGATCCACAAAAACAACTCATTATTGAAGATCCCTATTATGTAAGTACAGTTCAGATTATGGGGCCAGTGTGAAGATGGGCAAGTTGTATCCTGTCATATTAAATGACCAGATGAGGTCTCTTAAGGACATCTTCTTTATACAGCATTACTAGTGTTTCTTTTTCCTGTCCTTTCAGGGGAACGACTCTGACTTCGAGCTGGTGTACCAGCAGTGCCTCCGGTGCTGCAGGGCCTTCCTGGAGAATGCCCACTAGGGCTTGCCCTGCCCACCACTAGCTTGTGACTTGCCACCAGTCCTGTGCCAAAGTGTGGTGGTATTCCTTAGGCCTCACCTGTTTCTTCAGCTGACTTACTGTTTTACCTTTAAAATAATTGTGGGTGGCCATTAGTTATATTTTCAGAAGAATAAATAGAAATGTTTGATTCATACAGTTTGGGGCAGTAAGCACCCAGACTAGTTAAACCTCTCACTTTGCCCTAATTACAAAATAGAGGAACAAGCAAATATGGAACAGCAAAATAGAACATAGTGAAGTAAGAATGACCTGAAGACAGGTCAGCCTCTGAGCCCAGCAAGACTTGGATAGTGTGGTGTACCTGCACTGTGTATGAACAGCCAGCACCACTTGATGTCCTCTGCTTGCCTTGCACCTCTTGCACCTCTTGTGGAGCCCTAGCACCTCGCTGCCAACCTTGGAAGTGTTTGCTCAGATACTCACAGTGCACCCTTGTATATTGAAAAGATAGGAGAAGCTGGGCATGGTGGCGCATGCCTGTAGGGAGGCTGAGGTGGGAGGATCATAAGTTCCAGACCAACCTGGACTACATAGTGAGACTCTGCCTCACAAACATCAGACAATAAATAAATAAAGGCTGGAGAGATGATTGGAATGAATCTTCAGCACTCTTTAACACTTGTTAGTTTGTGTCTAGTTTATTTCATGAGAGGTCACTTCTTGACTCCCAATTAAGCCATTTTGCCTCTGAAAATTATATACAGAAAGGACACTTGTACAATTTATCTATGTTTAGTAGAGCAATGTCTCTTTTCTATGCATATGAAACCCAGATGTCAAAAATAAATTGGCTTAAGTGTGAAAAAGTTGAAGAGTCCCGTTATGTTGATGTGCTTAAATACTATTATGTTAATAAGAATTCTCTCATCAGTGTTTAAAAAAGTTACAAACAGGTAATATTGTGTATTGTCAGATAGCTGGCCCTCAAACTCATATGGATATATGTCAGAAAAGATTGTTACTAAATAAACTGGGGGTTATAAAAATACAACTAAGATAAAAATCTGTGTCAGCCTCTTTTGCTGTTGACAAGAATATTTGAAAATGTCTCCTGTATTTCTTTCACATGTTCTGTGTGCATATTTATCCTCAATATTAGGAAGTCAGATGTGGAACTGAGTAAGCACTTGCTGCCACATGCAGTGGTTTCTGCTGTGGAAGACTGTTGGGCTGCCCTGCAGTGTTCTTGCCTGAGGCCCTTCTGGCGTCACTGCACCAGCTGGCCTCAAGCATTACCCAGTCCTGATCCTCTGTCCATAATTGGTGACTTCTAATCCTGGAGAACTTGGAGTCAAAAGGTGAGTTGTCCTCAAAGGCTGAGGGAAGAGCAAAGGCATGGGAATCATAGCACCTTCCCGACCAGAGACCCCTCTCCCTAGCAGGGGAGAGCTTCCAGTACCCCATCCCATCTAAGGACCCTGATGTCCTTGGAAGGTGGTTTACCAGCTATGTCTGTCTCCGGTGGGATTACTGGGATATAGGAAACTTAAGAGAGTATGTTAGATGGTGGATATGGGAATGATGACCCCAAAGTGGAAGAGATGTTGAGTGGTCATCCACAAATAGAAAACATGACCAAATAAGGGCGCTGCAAACGTTCTCTGTCATTAATTGCTTCTTAGTCTCAAATTGTTCTTTTCTGTTTTATGTTCATAAACAAAATTCAGTAATTCGCTTTAATCTTTACATATATAAACAAATACTCAAATTGTAGGACTTAAGACTACTTGTCTGTTAAGGCTGTTCCAGACAACACCATCTGCTCACAATGTAAGGAGGCAAATGGAAGAGGAAATAACCCTGAGGATGTAAAGGGATGAATGACAGAAGTAATGCTGTTTTAGATAAAGGAGATAGGAAGTCACACCTAGAACATTTAGGGAAACTAAGAAGCTTCGTGTGCAGGTGGTAAAGCACAGCAGTTTTTATTCCTAGATAAGGGAAACAAGATAAAACATTGCTAAAGGTAGACATCTAAAGGGATGAGATACCCCTAAAGGAGACTAACACAGCGAACTTTCCCAAGATAAAAAAGTGGTCTCACCAAAATAATGAGCAGTAAGTCATAAAATGTAGGTGATAAGCCTCAAGGACAGGATGGACTAATGAGACCCTCCTGGAATGTCCAGTGTGATAAAGATAGAGGGCAGTTAGATGGTCTGGCTTGACAAAAAGTCAATTAGACATTCAATTACAACCAGTGTTAAAGGCAGGGGTGCCTAAATTGGCCTCTATAATCTCCTGAACTTCAGTCATGAAGTCCTTTGGCTTAGCACTTAGTTAAGTCCCACCCATTTAGGTGCTTTGCTGTCCTTTCAATAAACTTTGTGCTTGCTCTACTCTTTAACTCCTGGTCTGGTGTGAATTTGCTTTAACCTTTAACTGCTTGTCCTGCACCATCAATCATCGACTGCCAGGATACAAACCCAGGAAACAATAACCCAGCCCAGTATCAACAAGGGCTCAAACAAACCCACTGCTTTGCTGAATTCAATTTACCTTTTAATTAGGTTCAATTAGATTTTTGTTTAGAATCTACCCATAAAAATCTTGAGCTGTATAAATCTTAAGGTTCCTCTTAGTTTAGTGTTTTCGTAACAACAGGAAATAGTGGATACAACCTTACTTGGCATATCAACTACCAAATCAACACCAGCTGTCTCAGGAAATACTGCTCTGATTCCCAGTAGCCTCCATTAAAAAAAAAAATAATTTCATTGTCACAGGAATGTTTAGCTTTTAAGTTTTGTGTGTGTTTAAATTCTGTGACATGTTACCAGTGTAATCTCTTGGTAGATGTGTAAGTCATGAATCCCCAGTGATGAGCCTGCTAGAAAGAAAGTCACTCTGAAGACTGCGTTATGACAAACACGTTGTTTATTGTTTGTCTTTATTTACAGTATTTACATATTGCACAATAGCTGGATTGCTATTTTAAATTTATTTCATATAGGACAAATGGGTTTAGCCTGGATATAGTCACAGATTTATACTCTACTGTCTCCAAAAACATGACAAGGTTTTTGGTTTTGGTGCTTTTAAATTTTTCATGCAGTTCCAAATAATACTCTGGGAGTTTAATTGTAAAAGTAATATAAAACAGGAAATCATATGGTATGCTATATGAAAATATAGTTTAAGATTCTGCCTATGTTTCTAAAGAAATATTCTTTGTGATTTCACCTAACCAGGAAAAATGAAATATTCTCATTTTATAGCACTACACATCAATGTGGAGTGTTCTCTCAGGTACACTGATTTACTGAATATATATCTGCCAGCAGTGTTGACAACATACAAATGCAACGGAATTATGGAAGAGTCTGCAAAAATAAATCTCTGTCCACAAGGGTATGGGTGAAGATGGTTTTGTTCCCTGCTGGTTTCCAAGGCACTTCTCAGAGTTCCTGGCGTGTTGCTCCTTTGCAGCTGAAAACAAGCACATTGTTTCATGTAAACACTCACTCTTTGTAACCAAGTTCAGCAGTAGCATAACACCTTTACACGCAAAGAGTCTGCATGTGTGTTCCTCTAGTATCTAGTTTATTCTGTTACACGCCTGTGCACTGCAGGGATGAAAACTTTCATGCACAGCTGTGAATGCTGATTAGTCTTGGTGTGTTGTCGGAATCTTCATATTGTCTTACACCTTTGCATAAAGGTTAAGAAAGTTACTTAATGACTAATTAGTATTGTTCCTAGTACTCCATGTTAGAGTAGTATTTGCCCTTTATTTTTTAAAGATGAGTAACTTCAAGGTTACTAGGCTATACCAGTAGGCTAATCCAGGTACTGTGGTACTTATTACTCAAAACTATACTTTTTAAAAAACATCCAGAGCTCAGTCATTTCATTAAACTGACCTGTAGGTCTGGTAAAGAAGTGTGTATGGCTGTTACGGAATGGTCAGTTTCTCTTATGTCTAAAGAGTCAGTTACAGAGCTTCATAGACAAGGAAGCCCACAGATTTGCCCACTGTTCTCCTCCAGGGCCCTGTAAAGAACTGCCCTCTTCAGGTTGTTGGCCTTTAAGAAAGAGGATCCAGGCTGGTGCTTGATCAGGAGTCTGATCCTGCAGCCTCCTGTGAGGACAGAGAGGCATTGCTGGGACAGCAGAAGACAGGACTCTACTGTTAACCAGTAGAACAGGTGCTTAGGATCCCTCCAGCATACCACCACATCATGAGTGTTGCATGACTAATGTGTGCTCTGCCCCATGTGGCTCACTGGTATCATGAACAAAGCCGCAAAGTACACCGAAACCTGGCAAAGTCTACAGTGGTTGTTAGCTGGTAGAGGTTTACTATTGCAGTTTAAACCTTTTGGAATTAGGAGAATTTAATCTTTAAAAAATTTTTGAAACTTTCTACTTAAAAAGTGTCAGTGGTTTAAACTTGACTTACTACATTTGTGACAACTGCTTGAGGCAGGTGACCTTTGCATGTAGAAGTTTGTGAGCATGTGCCCTTGTCCTGCCCCTTTACTGTGTTTCCTCCTGTCATATTCCCACTGGGAATCCCACTGGTGCAGGGTGGGGAAGGGGAGAGGTGTCACTCCTCAGGGTTGTTCCTGGGGCTACATCTATTGGCCATGCCATGCCTTCTTGACACTTTTGCACATTGCTTTTGGCAAACAGATTTGCCTACAATGCCTGATGCAGGGGCAGACCATACAGAACTGAGCCAGCCACAAGAGCACAGGTTCCCTGATGACGATCCGACTGCAACTATCTGTTCCTGTGGAAGCAGTCAGCCATCAGCCAAGGACAGGCAGCAGAGGCAGAGTAACTTAGCGGAGGAGTTGAGCTTTGGCTCTCCGCACTTGTCAGCAAATGGAAACTTAGAGAAGTGTGCCTGACTACCCTCTGGATAAGTGGTGACCTGACTACAAAGACACAATAAAAACAACATTCTTATCTCCCCAGCACATCACCTTGGGAGGCATACAGTAATACACATCTGTTCACTGGTATAAAGGTAAGAAAGACTTCTGCATGCCTCAAAGGCAGTGGGTATGACTGAAGAGTGTTAGAATGAAAAGGAAACAGGCTTCCTTTTATTGCAGTGCTTGACTTTGGTGTTAAAATGCACACTTCCTCCAGTAAAAAGAGCCAGTGAGCATATGTAAGTCCACTGTCCACTCACCTCTGTGAGTTCTCTTATTTCTAGTGGTGCTGGCTCCTGAAGGAGAGCTGAGGACACTGGTCTCACTCAGCCAGGTCTGAAGTTTGGCTCATAAGCACAGCACTGCCTTCATGAGAGCCCATCTTTGTATGAAAGAGTACTGCTCTCATCCATTTTTTATGAGACAGACTAAAGCAACCACCAGAAAAATGTAATACTCCCTTTTTATTAGTATTTTCTGGACAGCCGTATGTTTTCTGGGAATAGCCATTTGCAAGCAGGAAGCAGGTGTTACTTGTGATGGAATGTCCCCACCTGGCAGTGCCTGGCACACCCACAACACACGAAGTACAGGACTGGTGAAGGTAAAGATTCACCTAGCTGCATCCTTGGCTGCACAGCTGAGAGCCGGTACTACTTGTTATATGTCATCCCTCCAAAGGCCAACATACAACCAAAAACTATGATTATCAAGATCGTGTTTACAATTCTATCACTAGACATTATGAAGAGCATTTAAAGCGGACAGCTATTCTATGTAAGCTTATTGTCATAATGTTCCAGTTCACATCTTTACTAGGTATGCTAAAAAATTTGTGTGAGAATGTTTAGTCACATACAGATGGTCCTAGACACCACACACACTAAAGGTTTTTTGACTTTACCATGGTAAAGAAATAGTGCCCATTCCATAAAGATCATACGTTGAATTTTGAATCTGATCTTTTCCTGGGTTCTTCTTTGATGTTGAGCACTGGCTGACAGCCACATTCCCCAGGTTAGGTGAATTAAATGCATTTTGAATGACTAACAATAGCTTTCTTGGGTCGTAACTCATTGTAAGTCAAGGAGCATTTATAGTCATTTATGAGTGCTAGTGAATGAGTGAAAGACTAGAAGTAAGTAACTTATGATTTGACTGTGTGCTCTGGTCCAGACTCCCAGTGCTGAAATTAACTTGTCTTTAATAATGCTGCCTGGCCACTGAGGATGGCCAGCAGGGGGCACCTTTTACTCTGACATACTTTGCTCAGAGTAAGGCTACCTGTGCCAAAGATTGCATGTTTCTAAACTCCCCTGAGTTTTTCTACTCCTGCTGTGCGGACAGCATGCTTGTTTGGGAGCTTACCTTATCCTTCCATGCACATCGGACTGACAGCCAGCCGGGTAAGAAGCCTGGCACATCTTTTATAGTCTGCAACGAAAATAAACCACAGATTCTTGTCAGTTACCTGAATGACACTAAAATAAACAGTGGCTTTGTTTTTACAAGTGCATCAACTGGTGTCGCTATTTATTTAAATATCCTGGATTCCCTGGGAGCAATGTGGAATCTGTCATCTACAATCATGGGTCCTAAGCTGCTAATTTACAGTTCTTCAGAGATGTTAGTTCACAAGAAGCTGGGTAATGTAACTGGAGGCTGCAGAGGGGCACAAACAGCTGCCCCTCCTCACATGGCTGTCTGGCTCATGAAAATGCCTCTTGTCTTCCTTTGGAGAAGAGACAGGATCTTTCCACACCCTTTGTGTGACTTAACCTTCAGGTCACCTGCAGATTTAGTCCCCACCTGAGCTGACCACAACACAAAGACTTTGGCATTAACATTATAAAAAAAAAAAAAAAAGTGGGCCAAAAGTAACAGCATCCCAGGCATGGTGGCATGTGCTATATTCCCAGCATCCAGGAAGCAGCTTGAGGCCAGCCTGGTCTACATGGCTCAAAAAAACAAAATAAAATAAGGGGGGAGGGTGGTGTAGTAGAGCAGAGACCTGGGCTGGACCTGGAAAGGAAGCAAAGGGCTGGTTTCTGAGCCACTCTGATATCTTTGCACTATCATCACTTCCCATTCTGCTCTCCTGAGGGGCTACCTCAGAGAAAATTCATGGGAAGACCAATGCCTCAGAATCTCCTCAGGATGAGGTTCTGTGGAAAGCTGCAGTAGTTCATAAATTATCTAAAGTTTATTTCTCAGGAGTAGCAAAGTCCTAAAAAGGAAAGATTCATACTCAGCAGAGAATATGAATGAATGAGTAAACTGACAATAATAACCCTTCCTAATAAGCTAGGTAAGAAGCCAGCTCTACTTCCATGAACACATATCCTATATACTAGAATATGAGGAAATGGACCCAGCCACTGGCAGCACCCTAAATTAGTCTTTAATGCTCTTCCACACTTTTAGGAATGTAGCTTTCCTAAATAGATTTTGTATCATAGGTGCAGTGGACTGTTAGCTTGAGGACTGTCTAATCAACAAATTATAAATGCTGCCATTTGTAACATGTCAAGAGATTCCAGTTGGTCCCCATCTTACTCAGCACAGATGTCTCTACCAATGTTCTCCAAACCCTAAGTGCATTGTATCACCTGGGGACTTAAAGTGCAGTTTGTTCCTCGGGACTGGGAGGGACTTAGTTCTGCATTCCACCATGTGCCCATGGGACCACACTGACTAAGAAGGCTCTAAGGTTACTTCACTTCTAGCTTTGCAAGATCTCAGGGGTTTCCCTCTGGACAGCCCAAAGCATCCTAGTAGTGGTGACTCCAGCTCTCCAGCTCTTTATGGGCTGAGAAGTGGAAATAGCCATGAATCTCAATGCACAGCTCTATCTGTCAGCTGTCTACCTCTAGAGGCCCAGGGTGATCTGTGACCAGGAGTTTTAGAGCAAAAGCAGTTGACAATTCAGAAAAGGCTTTGCAGAAAGTAGAGCATGAGCCCTAAGCCCTGGTTTTGTGGACACCTGTGTGACAGCACACAAGTAATCTAAACTGTTTGCACATTCATAAGTGAAAGAATTAGATGTAATGGCCCAAAGTTCACTTTCAAACTTAAAAATCCATGAGCCTATTATTATAAGACAGCATTTAAACAATAAAAGGGTTCTGTGACCCAAGGAAGCAGCTTAGTAATTCTCAACAGGTTTATTATTGTCAGAAAACTTTCTCTGAAATGAAACCAGGTCCACATAGCTCCAGAAATGGAAAGTCCAATTCACAGAAAGTGTGCCTGCCTTGCATTATAGGCCTTGCTTGTCTGAAAGGCGCTCCTGAGAAGTCCTCACTGGGCCAAGGCCCACTAATGCAATGTTGTGAACATGCCCAAACGGTGTTGGTGCACAGACAGTTCTGTAAACGGTGGATATTACTATTCAGAGTAGCTGTGCTGCCTAGACAGAGAAAAGAACTGCTCTATGCGATCTGGTGCTTTTTGGAAGGCAGGACAGACCACTCCAGTCTGTTGACTGGGTTACTGGCTCTCTGTGTTGTTTCCGAAAACAGACAGCAGGTTCCTAGTATATCTTCATGGCTTTTCTCCTGTGAGCTTTAAATGCAACTAAATAATGGTTTTAGGAAGAGTACAAAGAACCACTTTAGGTGAAATAACATTTTCTGTTATGGATAAACAGTAAAAGAATGCTGAAGAGAATGAAAAGAAACCTAAAAGAAAAAATGTTACAGTTGAGAACTGGACAGAAGTGTGAACCCGGCATTTCTGAACTGGAGAAGCAGCAGACAGCAAAATTTTGAAGTAGCAAATAAAATTCCTGAGTGATGAGATTATTATTATTGAGGGAAAGAAAAAAGTCTCTGATCAGATCATTAGGATGATCAAGAAAGTTCTAGGCCAATTTGACTGTTTATACCCAGAGCTCTGACCTAACCTGTGTGATTGTCACATCGAGCAGGACAAATACAGGCACTGTGCCAGAATTCATAAACAAAATGAGAATGTGAACCAAAGAGTTTCACCCATTCCAAGAAAAAAATTATCACTCATTTCAGGGAATTAGGTAAATAATTTCCAGTGAGGTGTTGGCTGATGCAGACTTTACTATCTGCCCAGTATCTGGGCATCCTGGGCCCTACCTCAGTCAAGAAGGGACCACACAAGCCCCTGCACATTTCAGAGGGCAGGGCCTACTGCATGGAAGGGCGGAGTGCAGGAGGTCTGTTGGGTGCTCACTTACATGCAGGGATGGTGCAGTCTCGTGTGTTGTGGTAAAGTCTGTGGAAGTGTTTGCTGCACTTCGGACTAAAATAAAGAGGACCTGGAACACAGAAGAAGGCAGCCATGAAGATTCCAGGCAAAAAGGAGCAGGGAGGGCTGAGGAGTGAGAAAACGCACCTGTGAGGTGTTTCAGAAACTTGTCCTTCATCCTCAGATCTCGAGGAACAATCTCTGTGGGGAGAGAGATTATTGTAGTGCTTGAGTGAAACTTATTAACTGCAACCTTTAGTGAATGTTGAAGAAAACTGCATTACCAAATTACAATGCACTAGATAGAACTCTAGACTGTTACACAGGTACAATGTAAAGACTTAGATTAGGGACATGTTTTTCTCCAAACAGTATTAACTCCTCACAAAGTTCCAATATTATCTGTCCATTCTCTATCACTAGGACAGACTTGGAGACTTTTTTAGACAGCTCCCAATGAATAAATCACTTTAGACACTTCATTTTGAAGTGCTTGGGAATCAGATTCCACAGGACTTCAAAATTCAGAAAAAATTTGATCCTTCAAACAAAGTGTGTTATAGAAAACTATATTTTATAGGCAAACATTTAGAAAAAGGATATAATGCCTTTAAAACCACCTGTTAGTAAGGGTGGTGTGCATGAATGAGATTACAGATTGACCTGGTTTATAAGGCAAAAGTATGGCTCCAGAAAAAAAGCTCTTGCATGCAAACTTCTCTCACACTCCTGCTCTTCTTTGGAACCTGTTCCCCAGCAATGGTTCCCTGATTTTCTTTCTGATCTGGACCTTTGTTTTGGCTTTTATTGCAGTCATCCATAATTATTTTCCATTCCCTTACTAGGGCCAGAAATGCCTGTAGGATTGTATGTGATGCCACACTTTATTTTACCGGAAGTATTGCTTGACCCCTTCCCACATCTGAAGAGGGACGCTGGTATTTGAGTTTTCCACGTGCAAGGAAGGCTCCCTAATGCCAGTCTTCATTTACTTTTCACTTGAATCGGTCTACACAAAATTGACCTTATCATATTTGACCTAATTGTGTCATGAAAGCATTAAAAGCTTGCATGCTTCCCTGGGAAATTCCCCATGGGCAGCTGCTCTGGGAAGGCTCCACCAAGGGAAAAGCTCTGGACCATTTCTTCCTCGTGAAAAAGCTGGGCTGAGAAAACTCCCATCGCCAAAATAGCAGATGCCTGCTTTATGCAAAAATTTCTGACCCAGGCATCAAACAACTCCAAGTCCTAGATGTAAACTAGTGATGGTTTTCTGAAAGGCTAACAAATCTCCTGTTCCTGTTTCTGCTAGGTTCTGTCGAGAGAGAGAAGAGAAGAGAAGAGAAAGAAGAGAAGAGAAGAGAAGAAGAGAAGAGAAGAGAAGAGAAGAGAAGAGAAGAGAAGAGAAGAGAAGAGAAGAGAAGGGGGGCAGCAAGGGAGGGCGGGAAATGGAGACACAGAGAGGAGGAGGAAAGAAAGAAAAAGAAGGAAAGAAAGAAAGCACCCTTCCTTCTAACAATCAAAATTGACTTCTCTTTTTAAAATGTGTTTCTCAAAGGCAATTCTATTTCTAAGAAAATAAGTGCATCCTCACACATGGAAGGTAGGCAGTTGGGGAGCAGCCTCGGTCCACACTGCTGAGACCCTTATCCATTTCTGCACCTTGATCTATGATGCTGCCAGGAGTCATCCTCTCAGGGTCCACACTGTCTGCTTGTGACCCTCACCGACACTGACAATCTGTCCTGTAGGTCTACCCTGCCTGGAATCCTCTTCCACTCTCTGCAACTCTGGGTCCACACTGCCTGACTGGCCCTCCTCCATTCTGTGCTTCGGGGTCCACACTGCCAGGACACTCACCCACTCTTTGCTCCTCGGGGTCAGCCCCATAGTCCGCGGCCTCCCTGCGGCCCAGGGCGAAGTCCGGCTCTCCGAGGAGCTGCAGCCTCTTGGACTCCCCCGAGTGGAATTTCTTCAGCTCCTGGACCAGCTCCACCAGCAGCCTGAGCAGCGTCTGGCGGTCCGCGGGGCCCCGGGGCTGCGCGCGCCCCCGGCCCGGCCCCGCCGCGCCCAGTACAAGCAGCAGCCCCAGGAGGAGGGGGCGCCCGGGCGCGCGCATGGTCCTGGGTCACGGGCGGACTGGCGGCTGCGGGGAGGACCGGCTGCGGTCAGGGCGGTGCGGGGCCGGCAGCCCTCGGGGGGCGAGCGGGTCCCCGACCTGCCCCGAGCCCCACCCTACGACGACCGCGGCGGCGCGGGAGCCTGGAGCTGCGTCCGCCCAAATGTCCCGCACGCGGCGTCCGCGCGCAGGCCCGGCGCCCGCACAACTTTCTTTAACCTCTGGGACCCGCGGCGGGGCCTCCGCCAGCGCCCGAGCGAACGGCCGCACGCACTCCCGAGCCGCGGGGGAGCCGGCTGAGATCGGACTGCGCGAGGCCCGGCCGGCACCTGCCTGAGCGCCCGCCGGCCACCTGCGCCCGCGCCGCGGGTCACCGCGCCTCAGCTGCCCGCGTCGTCCGGGTCCGTTCGGGTCCGCCTGCGTCCGGCCGCGGCTACTCCATGCCCGGCGGCGCGGCTCGCGGAGCGCAGGGGACCGGGACGCACGGCTGACTGGAGCTGGACCGGCTTCGCCTGGTGCGGGCGCCGAGTCCCGTCGACCGCGGGCGCTTCTTATCCCCGCGGCCGCCGACGTCAGGCGGGTCCCCGGGGCTCGCAGCGCGGCTTTAATTAGAACCGGAGAGCAGCTAGCCGGTGCGGATATTCGTCAGACCCCCGTCCCCTCCCCCACCGCCCTCCACCCGCCCCTCCCCCACCCAGCCCGCGTCTCCCTCCGCCTCTGCTCGCGTCTCCTCGTCCCTCTCCCGCAGTCTATTTCCCCCGTTCCTGTCACTTATGACAGGATGAGAAGGAACGCCTTTACCAGGAACTCGGATCTGTTTTTGTCTAAATGTAGATCTCGGGCTATTAAAAAAGGAGCTGCCTGATTGCCTAGACATTTAATAAGTCAATTAGAGTCTATCGGTTTCCCAGGGATCTGCCGGCTTGGCCAAGTCGGGTCCCCCGGTCTAAGACGGCGACGCAAGTGTCCCCGCGGGCCGCCCGGCGGTGGCAAGACCCGCACCCCTCCGAGCCCCGGCGCCCGTGGAGGCCCGGGCGGGGGCCGCGCGGAGGCCGCTTGATCTTGGGACATTGCCTCCTTAAGAAACTTTAGTTCTTTGGGTGTAGCCAGGCTTATTTACAAGGGCTCAACATTTACTTCCTTGACTTTTTTTCTTGTAAAATGGATTATCAATCAATTGCACACTTTCCCATTTTATTGGCGCTTTCTGGGCAAGAGCTGGACGTCCTCCAAGCAGCGATCTGATTGGGAAAGGTGTTCTAAGTACAGCGGCAGAAAGGGAGAGCGGGCGAGGATTAAAAGCCTCCACCTTTACCCGGCAGCTGCTTGGCTGTGGGGCGAAGATGCTGGGGCGGGCAGGTGCGCGCGTGCCCCGGACCGGCGCGTCCCCGGGGACAGCCTGGGTCCCTGGGCCCCTGCTGCTCTCCTGGTGGATCCCGCCTCTCTCTCACCTTGCTCCGTCGCTTCTCCCTCCCTTCGCTAGGTCTGTTTGGTAGAATGGGGGCGGGGTAGAGATGGAGACACTAAAGATAGACCCTTGGGGGCCTATCGCTGCTCTCTCTAAAAGCAAATGATTTGACTTCCCATTGAGAGTTTGAAGGTTTTGTTTGTTTGTTTTGCATGCAATATGACTGAAATGAGTAGGTTTCTGTTGAAATACACCCAGGTAAAGGTAAAATTTCCTATCAGATAAATGAAGTTTTTTTTTTTTTTTCCTTTCTCCCTTTCCCCTTTCCTTGTATAAGGAGAAATTTAAGTTCCAGCGAGAGCGACGCCTACTGCCCACTGCTTGCCTTACCAGCAGGGTCAGAGTCCACATGGAAGCTTTCGTCTCCAGGTTGCACACCTAGTATACCTGTCAATGCAAAGCTTTAGGTTTGTTTGTTCTTAGCCTAATCGCATTTTCTTTTCGACTTATGTACACTCTTTCTTTTCAAACAGTGCTCCACAGAATAAAAGCCACACTTCTAAAAAATATCAGAAGAATCCCCACAAATTCTACCAACAGAAATGTCTTGCTACTGATGAATATTATTATCCATTTGTCTTCTGCAGTTTTTGATGGGACAAATGGATTTCTTGAATGACTTCTTTTTACTATGCGATTGTTATGTGCAGCACTTCAGCCTTAGATACATGCATAAAAAAATAGACAAAACTGATGCTTAATTAGTGTTTGGATTCCTGAATTCTGGCAGTTAAGGATCAGACAGTTCCTCTGTTTGTTGATTCATGTTTAAAAGTTCATTGTTAAAATGACTCCAGGTTCCCCTGACTTTATATAAACAACTTTTACAGACTTTCAAAAAACTTAATTGAAAGAGTGTACTTGTGTACTGATTTATTAATCTTTACTGAACTTCTCACCTTACAGTGTTGTCAGGGTGAACATGATGAAGACCTCCAGTTGCTAGAAGTTTGTGTTCTGTGCTCATCACTGGTACTCTGATCCGCTGAACTCATTGGCAGTGGAAACAACCAGAGGAAACAATCCTCTCAGACATGTGAAGTGGAATTGACAGACCACTGAGTCTTTACATTTCTTTTTGTGTAAAATGAGATGGTTGGACATTGTCCCTCGTCTAAAACTATATTCTATGGTTGTTACCAAAAAAAGCCTAAAAACACCAAAATCATAATGTTTCCCATGAAAAGCTGAAGACAATCCACTTGAAGAATCACAGTGAGCTTCACCATCTATTTTCAGACGAGAAGAGTTAAAGCATCCATATTTATTAATGTAATTTCCTCCTTTAGTAGGTGAACAACTATCTACTGTCAAGTGTCCAAACATCCAAAAAAGAGAAAATTAGCAATAAACTATTTGCTAGGATTCCTGGCAAAAATGATTTTTTAGGTTTGAGTTAGTTTAGTTTCCTTTTGGATACAATTATATTGTATCATAGGAAGAAAATAGCAAGAGGAAGATGTCGTTCTTAATCTGCCTTTACTGCGTTCATGTCCTGAGATGGGAGACTTATTTTCCAATTTCAAAACAGCCTACATGAAGTCCAACACTTCAAGTGCAGTCATTCTTGTCCCTAAAAGTATAGATCTAGTTTTAGATAACTTCACCTGCCTTCACAGACTTCTTTTTTTTTATTGTTTTGTTATTCATATGTGCATAAAAGGCTTGGGTCAGTTCTCCCCCCTGCCCCCACCCCCTCCCTTACCACCCACTCCATCCCTCCCTCTCCCTCCCACTACAGACTTCTAATATGTATTTATTGTATTACATTTAGGGAAATGTGTTTTAAATGGATTGTTATATTGTTCAACCATTATGTTAGCCATCTAGCAATTAACAGCTCTAATTAGAAACAAAACAATCACCTTGTGTGAAAAGTAACAGCATGTGCCCTAAGGAAATATCCCTTAATGTTTTAACTTTCAACAATTCTGTTGTTTTTGCAATCAACATACTATTAGTATGCTAGGAATGTATCAGAAACTATATAAAACCTTTAAGAACTGACTTCTACAGGCCAGGTTGGGGGCTACCTTGTACGCCATGCTTTTCCTATCATGGCTCCAATCTCATTTTCCCTGTTCACAGCATGTCCTGGGTTACTTTTCTGTGTCTTCCACTCAACTATCATATTCTTACAACCAGGGAATGCTTTTTGTCCATTTTTATACCACCAGTAATTCCAGGTTTCAGGGACACAGTATGCACAAAAAAATTAATTTTGAAAAAATGAATAAACATATTCAGAATCATGTCTGTCAGTATTTGTACTCATAGTTTTGGAGATTTTAGTCCATAATCAGTTGGTGTTATTGCTTTGGGGCAGATGGTGACATGGTATATCCTGGTGGGAACATGTGGAAGAAGCACGTATCAGAGAAAAACCACTCACCTCATGATTGGATAGCAGAAGAGAGAGAGGAAAGGGCTATCTCTGTCAAGGGCACACTCCATCAAGGAGGTTATGGGTCTCCCTAAGACCTCCCTCTAGGTTTCCACCTTTCAAAGTCTCCACCAACTGAAAATAGTGCCGAACTAAGTAATAAGCCTCTAACATATGGGCCTTTGTTAGAACACTCGAGATCCAAGCTATAGAATTCTACCCCTGGCTCCCAGAGCTTTGTATCTATCTCACAATGCAAATGCATTCAGCCCGTCTCCGAGCATCTTAGTCATAACAGTTCCAGCTTGGAAGTCTAAGCCCAAAGTCTACTCCAAGACTCAAAGCAAACCTAGCTGTAAGCCCCCGAAAAAATCTAAAAAGTTATATAATCCCAAGGTACAATGTTGGGACAGGCACAGGGGAAACTACTATTTTAAAGATTAGAAAATAGAAAGGAATCAACCCAAAGCAAGACCAAAACCATCAGGTCAAACATTAAATCCTAAAACTCCATAAACAGCATCCAGGACACACTGTGACAGAATGTGTGCTCCCAAGGGCTTGAACAGCTCCCCTCCAATGGCCTTGCTGTTTGTAGCCCACATATCCTCTCTCTTGTACTAGCTCTACTTTCTGCCAGTTGCTGATTTCCTCAACAAGCATTCTACAGTTCTGGAATCTCTCAATTCCTGAAGTCTCAGTTCCACTCATCACCTTGTCAGGTCTACCCACAGGGACTCTGACCCTTCCACAGCATGTTTTCTCAAGACTTTCTTTGAAATCTCAGTGGAAGCCTCCGTAATTCCATAACTCTTGCATTCTGCATTGAGGTGACTCACAGGTCTGCTGCCAAGTGAACTGAACCCACTTTAACCATGACCTTGGTGGGTTCTGAGTGCCTGTTGATTGGAAATGGGGAAATTATGACGTAGGCACTTTGAGACATGTCCCAGTATACTCTGGGGCTGTCTTCGCAAAACTCTTCCCTGGAAAGTCTGTGGAACCATTTGCATTTTTGCCCTGCTGAGGCTGTAGGTCTGTGGTCTTGCTGCTTTCTGAGATGCACTCAAGCCGTCTTTCCTGCTGACCAATGCAAAACACTTGGCTTGTTTTTCTTGGTGCTAATAAGCAAGCATTCTTCACCAGCAGCTTTAAAGGCATTGCTTTCCTTGATAAGCTGTGGATTTTAAAAATCTTTCTACCCTGCTCCTCTTCACCTCTGATTATTTCAAATTTGATGGAAAGCAGTCAGCAACATCCATGCCACAGCCTGAGTTCAGTACTAACTTAAAATTTCTTCTGCAAGTTAAGTTAGTGCAATTTCCAATACAGTCATGATTTCCATCTGAAAGTTTGTCAGCCCAGTCTGTATTTTTTGCATTCCTATCAGTGTACTGGCTTTCAAGTCCTTGGTGGAATTTCCCATTAAGCTCTACTTCCAGGATTCTAAGCTATTTTCTTTCCTATTCTTCAAGCCTTTTCAGATTCCTCCTATAAAGCAAAAAGGAGAGGCTGATGGAGTGGCTCAAGTCTAGCAAACATGGGGCCCTGAGTTCAAACCCCAGTGCTGTCAAAAAAAAAAAAAAACAGGTATAATCGCAACAGAGATTTACTAGGCATCCTTCATTCCAATCAATTTGGCAATCAAGATTAGCCATCACAGATACCTGTGTGGAAAACCAGTGTTGTAGAAATTTAAAGAGAACTTGAAATGGACTGTCTCTTTGGAAGGCATATGATAGAATCGTAAAGATATCAACATGCTCATAAAAGTTATGCTATCTTATTTGAGCTATTTTGGAAAATTTCATAGGAAAGGTGTCATTTGGAAAGTCCTAATGATGGGTAGGAATTGCTCATGTTGGCATGGGACCCATGCATCCTGTACAGAGGGACATACGTAGGCAAGCTCCCAAGGGACAAACTGGAACCACAGGGGTCCAGTAAGATGGACTGAGAGGAAGGGAGGGGCAGTTGAAGAGGCAATTTCCTGACCCCAGTTTCTCTCCAGAACGCAATGTGAGAGTGGAAAAGCCCAGAGGCAGCTCTGGTTCTGGTTCCTAAGTTCATTTGTGTGACGCTACCTCTGTGAGCCTCATATCTTCATCTCTAATGGGGTAATGAGGATTATTACCTCAGAACGTTTATGAACATTAAGACACGTTAACTTAGCACAGTGTCTAAAACATTTGATACTTTTGCACTGTTACAATGCAAAGAGAATATGGGATGCAGTTTTGGCTCATTTGAGGTGGCTATAACAAAGTGCCTTAAACTGGGTGGCTTATAAGCAGCATATGAATTTCTCACAGTTCTGGATACTGAGAAGTCCAAGACCAAGGCACCAGCAGATTCAGTGTGTGGTGTGAGGATTTAGTGTACGGACCTCCTTTTCTCACAGATGCACCTTCTTGTGGCTTCCTCAGAGGTGGAGGTCATGGGGCAGCTCTCTGGGGCCTCTGTCATAAGCACAGTTTTCTCAGCATAAGACTGCCTTCCTGACCTCACTTCTGAAAGGCTCTTCTTCCTAATATACTCACATTGATGGCGAGGTTTCCATGTGAATCTTATGGGGGCATAAAGGTGCAGACCATAGCAGACAGTCAGCACTCTTCAAATAGGGCCTGATAGAACTCAGTGTTTAAGTAAACATCAGACAGAAGCAATTCTACCCCTCCTATGAGGCAGAATTCACTTTCACATTCCACTGCCATTGTTTAAGTTCATAGGTGCTCAGGAGAGGTACTGTGCTCAAGTGTAGTGTGTTCCTGAACGCTAGATGGAATATGGCGCTTGTGTGCTGATGGATGAGGTGGAGCAGGAAAAGGGAAGGGCCTGGGTAAAATGGCATATTTGAAAATTTCTATTTTCCAGAGTTACCTTCTGGAGCAAAGAAAGAGAAAATGGCAGAGAAGAGACCATTCTAAATGCCATTCTGTGTTGTTTGTACTGTATACAGTAGTCTGTGATAAATGACTGATGAGGTTTGAGCAGGGGATTGAAATCAGATTTATATTTTATGAGAATAGATGTAAAGAATAGACCAAAAGGATTGGAGGTAAGGCCAGTCAGTGATGGAGCTGTTCTATTCATCCATCCCACCCACCCATCTACCTATCCACCCATCTACCCACTCATCCTTCCATCCATCCATCATCCACCCATCTGTCCATCCATCCATCCATCCACCCACCCACACATCTATCCCCTCATTCTTTCCTTCTGTCACTCAACAGAGAGACAAGTATTGCATCAGTTCCTGTAGATATTGGACTCTTCACTTATGGAGTTCTTGCTTCAGAGAGTAAATGCTGGCAACCAGTGTACTATTTAAAACAATAGAAATCTATTTAAAAAGTACAAGGATGAAAGAAGAAAGGAAAACAATGGTGTTATAGACACGAGCTAGAAAGAAACTTACGTTTGATAAGGGGCTTAGAGAAGTCATCTCTGAAGATGCAGCCTGGTAATGGAAGCAGCCACTTTCTCAATGTACAAGTCAAAAGAAGAGGAAGCCCAGAACCAGAGTGTGGGGAGGAGGATGAGAAGGAAAGAAAGTCTTGCCACCCTAAAAAAGAATCTCTTTTTCTCTATTTTTTTCACCATGGGAATGGCATTTCCAGTGATGTGTGTTTCTGCAAATGCATTTAAAAGTACAGTGTAAAAATAGAAACTAGGAACTATTTATAGCCTCATAAGGCAGTTCATTCACTTAGCAAGCATTGACTATGGCTCACCACAGATGGAGCACAGTTCTAGGCAGGTTAGGCACTATTACTTGACTTACTTAGATGTAATATTAGCTTACTTAGAAAAAGAAATAGGCAATTTAAATGCAATACAAAAATAAGCTTTAACAAAAGCAGAGTGCCTTATTCTGCTTTGTCTGGGCAGAGAGTGAGTTCCTCAGTCAGGACTTCTTAGCTGATACATGTGTGGATGATAGGGCATCTGGTGCTGAGGACCAGGTGTTTTCACCTCACTGTGCACTGATAGAGGATACTTGATTTGCCCTGGGCACTGTACAGAGCAGTGGCTGAGGGCAGGACCCCCATGTCCATCCAGCTTAGAGCTCCTACTGTCAAGAAACCACAATGGAGAAGTTACTGTGAGCATTCTGTTTGTTCACTTTGGTATTAAACTTGGGGTGATACCTGACATCAGATTTTGCTCCATCACCTGTCAGGTTGTTCCCAGCTAGTATTTGAGCAATCCCCCTAGGTTCTTCATATATTTTAATGTCTGTAACCCATGCCACCTCTCTATTGTGAGTGCTCTTGTTTATATAAAGTGCTTTCCTTACTTTGTCTTCAGCATAATTCAGACATCCCTAAACATGGCACTGAGAGTTTTCTCTTTGTTCCTATATGTCTGGATAACAAGCAAAATTCCAGAGGAATCAAGAAGATGTGTTACTCTTGGGGATATACCTAAAAGACTGTGACACAGGTTACTCCAGAGGCACCTGCACACCCATGTTTATTGCGGCACTATTCACAATAGCCAAGTTATGGAAACAGCCAAGATGCCCCACCACTGACGAATGGATTAAGAAAATGTGGTATTTATACACAATGGAATTTTATGCAGCCATGAAGAAGAACGAAATGTTATCATTCGCAGGTAAATGGATGGAATTGGAGAACATCATTCTGAGTGAGGTTAGCCTGGCCCAAAAGACCATAAATCGTATGTTCTCCCTCATATGTGGACATTAGATCAAGGACAAACACAACAAGGGGATTGGACTTTGAGCACATGATAAAGCGAGAGCACACAAGGGAGGGGTGAGGATAGGTAAGACACCCAAAAAACTAGATAGCATTTGTTGCCCTCAACACAGAGAAACTAAAGCAGATATTTTAAAGTGACAGAGGCCAATAGGAAAAGGGGACCAGGAACTAGAGAAAAGGTGAGATCAAAAAGAATTAACCTAGAAGGTAACACACACGCACAGGAAATCAATGTGAGTCAATGCCCTGTATAGCTATCCTTATCTCAACCAGCAAAAACC